CTCAAAACAGAACAACATTTAGTACTGGGCTTTACCAATGGAACATGTTTAACCGAATTGCTAAAGGATCCATGTTCCATCTTCTTGCTGCATATTAAACTGGTCAAATTATATTTCAATGCTCACTGAAGTCGAACTACAAATCGAAAGCTATAACATGTTGGAACGCCAAGAAAAACCCCATCATACCTTAAAAGAAAAAAGAACATGTAGTTACAACAATTGTTTCAAAAGCTCCAATTTTGTTACCTAAGTTCGTTATTCAATCGCAACAAGTTAATCAGTCTCCTTTGTTTGCACACAGAACCTTTAAAGCTCGTCAATCTTCACACGCCTCTAAAACACCCCACAAAAACGCATTGAAGTTTCCAAAACTAGATATTTAGAAAATGAGGCAATCCAAATAAATTCAGCATTGAATGAAACAACACACATGGTCCACATAGAGAAAAACAACAAAAATAAGGCAACAATATTATAAATGAGAATAACATTCAAACCAAAGAAAAAGAAGGAAACAGTCATTAAAAACTTACCAAAAGTGAAACCCAAAGAGCTAATGAGCGCCTTGTTGCAAATTACAATGGAGACCGATGAAACCACAGAGAGAGTCAACGCCCCCACTGTCCCCAGCTGAAACCTCTCGCCCTCCCCCATCTTTTGCCTCTGACCCAAGTTCAAGCTAAGCATAAACAACCCAAAAATCTTACAAGGTCAATATTTTTTTCCACAAAATGAGAGAGAAGAAAAAAAAAACGCAGAAGAAGAAGTAAAACTCACCGAGAGTGGCAAAAACTGAGAACAGGGCAATCAAAGAATTGAAGGTGGCGTTGTCTTGAGGTGATCAAAGTCTCAGATCTGATGGTTAAGATTAATGGGTAAGTGGTAGTGTTATGAAAATGAGTCAATGGCTAATTGGGTAGGCTGTCCATACGCTTTGCAGTGGTTATGGAATTGGACGCTTGGCTTCGATGCTTAGAGTTAGAGATGCACCTAAAAATTGCGTCAAACATCAAAATTCCTATTTCTAAGAGAGATGGAGAGGTCACAGCTCATAGCTCACTGAGTCAGTAGGTTTCGTGTCTCTATCCTTCTCTTTCCTCAAGAATGAGGCGAGGGGGTCGGTTAAAAAAGCTTTGGTCTTTGGGAGTTATATAGGAGATTTTTCTACTGAAGCTGGACCTGGAGGTTAATTCTAGCGCCACGACGTCGTTCCATTGTTTGATCTATGATACTTGTGGCTAATGACTATGCACCCCATTAGAATTACATTGAGCTTAAGTTTAGCTGAGGAAATATCATCATTCAGCAAAATATTTCTCCAATCCCATTTCATAAATTTCATTTTGAATAGTAGTGCTCCATGGTCTCGAAGTTTCCATATTTAATGTCTAATTGTCAACTATGACCCGAAATTTGCAAACTTTATGGCACGTTTAAGCTTGTAGATCTAAAAACATGCTGCGCATGATGTCACACTCTAAAAAATTAAATAAAAAAGAGTTGGTTTGGGAAAAGGAAAAAAAGAAAGTTACTGTTACTCTGTTTTTGTCATTGGTTTATTGGACGAGTGTCTTGGCTTAGAAACCCGTGCAGACCAAAGTCTTCAAACATCGGATGATTCAGATCCCAATTCTAGGAGAAACAACTGCGAATTTATAACTGTTTACTCTTTAGCGATAGATATTGAAGTTTAAATTGGAGGGTTGAAGTTGATGATGGAGAATTCACAAGATTTATGCAACACAGAGGGAGATGGGGATGGAAGGAAGGCCGTGGCTTCTACTTCTTATACCCCAACAGCAGGTAGCTCTGGGTATCGGTTGTTTGGTCGTCAAGGGTCAGTGCACAACTCCCTGGGTGGAGGTCAAGGTGAGGAAAGAATTAAACTTTTGTCTGACATTATTGAACTTCAATGACATTTCTGGGATTTTGGGTATGTGGAATCTCTATTTAATTTCCTTTTCCTCTTTTCAAGTTTGGGTTTTGTCACTTGTCTCCGTTATCTGTTGAAAATGCTATGTTTTTAGCTTCTTGATTATCTGAAATGATGCTGATCACGGTTGTTTATATTTGGATGGAGCAAAATTGAGTGGCATTTACCTTGTAGAATTGATTGGTCAGCTTGAATGTAGTTCTGATTTGTCACAAACTAGGGCTATCTGTGCATAAGGTTTTTTGTTCTCTATTGATTAAAATTAGAGTTTACTTTGGATAACGAAAACCAATAGATGAATGAAGGCATAATGTAGAGGTTGTGGTAAAGAGGGCAGTTCACAATTATGTTCATAGTTGAAAAGAATGTGTGGTTAGTTAAAACTGCGAAGGAAAGGAGATGCCTGAAATTATAGAGGAGGAGAAAGATGGTTTCTTTGGGAATTTGTTTTCATCTCCTCGCAAGTGATTAAACAAAAGAAAAAGAAACAATGAAAAAAATATTTGGAGTGGCAATACTTGCATTTTCTAGAGTAGGAGATGGCTGTGTCGAAAGGCTTGCTTCGTGAGGCAAGTAACCGCCTTTTATGTTGGACCTAGGGAAACTGAATTGCAAGCTGACTTTGTTGGTTTCTTTGAGTTACTTTGCCGCAGAATGGCTTTACCAGCCCCTTCTCTTCCCAAGAGTTGAAGTATCGTGACAGTGAGGAGCAAATGCCATTGTTTCATGTGCAAGACTTCCTTTTTTAGTTTGACATATGTAAGAGTACAGATTTTTTTTACTTTGTTGATGCATGCAGAAGAACTTGAATTAGGTTGATATAGTCTAGGCTTCTAGTAGTGCTCATCCAGTATGCTCCTTTGTCTAGTGGTTCAGGAAAATCTCATGTACAAGGAGGCAAATTATTGTTGAATGCTTCTTTTTAAAATTTAAAATCCATTGCTTGTCAGAACGCAGATAAAATTGCCTCATTCTTTCTGGAATTTCACATATGTTTTTCCAGAAGAGTCTTTTAAAATAGCTAGGCTAGTTGTTCCCTCATATGCATAACAACTCAAATGCAGGATTTGAATTCCAATATCTGAATTTGATGGCGACTTTAATCTGAGCTGAGAATGGTTTTCACTTCCAAATAAAGAAGTGAGAAGTTAGTTAAAGTGATCAAACCTGCCAACATCAATGTCTTAACATTGTTTACGGTTTACCTGCTACAGCCTATATTTGTATAAATACCAGTGTTCTTTTCTCAGAATTTTCTTAATTTGTTTTCTTACTGTCTGTCATTTTCTTTTTAGCTGCTGATGTTTTGTTGTGGAAGCGGGGGCGTGTTTCCTTTGGTGCTATCGTTGTTGCTACAATTTCTTGGCTCCTCTTTGAGCGGTCTGGATTATCATTCTTATCAATTTGTTCAGATGTCTTGCTGATTTTGGTTGTACTGTTATTTCTTCGAGCCAACTATGCTGTTTTCAGAAATAAGTACGAATATTCTTACCCTCTTCACTTGTATTGTTGTCAACCTAGCAGTGAAACTGTTTTCAATGAGGTTAACTATCATATTCTTTGAGTAGACAATTACAAACATTACCGGAGCTAGTACTATCAGAGGAAATGGTTAATAATGCTGCAGCATCATTTCGTGTCAAAATCAACAATGTGCTGCTTATGGCTCATGACATCACGCTTGGCAAAGACTTTAGACTGTTCTTCAAGGTCAGTGTTATGTGGCATGTTACACTAATACCATAGGAACTACCTGGGCTTTGTAGCTGTCTATCTAGTTTAGTCAGGCCTTTAAAGGCTTGCTACTATGCTTCATTTTATCTGATGAAAATTGAGTACCCAGATGGAGTATGAATTTTCCATGGCTTGTAGGGTAAGTAGTCGGAACAATTGTAATCGGGGTAGAATATATATTTGCGATTCGTTGTCTATCTGGCTGAAACCAGATTAGTTGTCTTTTAACTTTGCATTTGCAAATATTACTGATTCAAATGAAGAAAGTATCTTACCAAGCTACTGTGCATTTGACAGGTGGTGGTTTGTCTGTGGTTATTGTCTGTCATAGGCAGCTTTTTCTCATTCTTTACACTTGCTTATATTGGTATGTGCACCATCCTCCTGGCTCTGTTAAATGAATGATCTGTGATGTCCCATATGAAGCTTTATTGTTATTTTTTGGCATTTCATATACGTTATGCAATGTTAAGCAGAGGCTATTGTTATAGTTCTTCCAAACTTTGCTTTATTATTTGTCAAGTTCTTGACCCATTATGCCGAATTATGTTCTTGCAAAAACAAGGTGGGGGTTGATACATGTAAGTTTATTGTAGAGTTTTATACTTATATTCTGCTTTAATGGTGGCAGGTTCAATCATATCTATAACACTTCCTGCCTTGTACAGCAAATATGAAGAGACTGTGGACGGGTGTTACGGAAAGATCCACCGACAATTTTCAAAGCATTATAAAATCGTGGATGAGGGTGTTTTCAACAGACTTCCGAGAAATGTACCCAAGGACAAAGATTCCTAATGCGGAAAACTTAGATGCAGACGCATAAAGTCATTGATGGCATACCATTGAGTTCGGAATTTTGTTTTGTTATAAAGTTGTCGATATGTTGCTTTGCTACTGCTTCCTCATAAAAGACCTGGCAGAGTTTTCCATTGTTTTTGTTCTGGTTCAGTCATCTGTATGTTGCTTTCTAATTGTTTGATGAGGACGTGAAATGCGCGGTTACTTAAATGGGCAGAGTTTTCAGCATAGAACCATTTTCCTGGTTTCCCATCTTTAAAACTGGAGATGAATAAAGTTGGACAGGCTGAAATTGGTTTCTTATGCGATGAATTATGGATACAAATTTAATGAATCTGGAATATAGCAAAGTCATGTTTCCTTCTTTCCCCGCTCCGCAATTCAAGGAGGTTAATGTATCTGGAATATAGTTGATTGTATATTATTTGGGTCATTTAAACAAAGTCACTTGTAATCATATTCAATGCCTGACTTTTGGCCGTCCAGGGTGAACCCACAAAACACTAGGCAGCTTCTGCAAATGCATACATATAATAATAATTCCATGAAATTTCCATCATAATAATAACTCGAGTATCCTGGCAACATAAGAACATATTCACCATTTGTTCTACACGTTACAAGTCAACACTCTACATGAAAAGTTTTGCATCCACATATGATGACAGAAAGGTAAGTCATATATCTGCTAACTGCTTGCTCCTGGTACATATTAAGCTTTAAGCAATTCATTGGCCTTGTCCAACCAAACAGTGTAAATATCATCTGCAAACAGAACAAAGTGCACCTGCAACCAATATAAAATGAAATTGCCAATGAGTTTTCTAGAATGCTCAACTGGTCAAGGGATTGATTACATTAGTCAATTTTTACGTAACTTCTAAGCAAGCGTGTTAGATAGCTCTCTCGATAGCTTTCAAACTGGGAAAAATGTTGTTTTCCACAAGAAAAAATCATGGCCCTTCTAATTAAAGACATTGAAAGTGTAGAACCAAATGATAAAGCCCGCATTACCACCATGTCATGAAGCAAAAATATGCATACATACCTCCTTTAGGTCATTCACAGACTCTCTAATTGTAGATAAAGCTACTGTGGCTGCTTCATCATAAGGATATCTGGAAGAATATGGCAATGAAGAGGAGATTATTCTGTTTGTCATTTGTTTACAACTTCAAATCAACAAGTCCATACAAATTTCTTTCAGTAACAGATGGGGGAAAATAGAATAAATAATCTAATACTATCAAGCACAAGGTTATATGACTTGAGACCATAAATACACAATTTTCCCCACAACGAGAAACAGGACTATCTTTCAACTCCATGTGATGGAAAGCGAGAAAGACTATAGATCAATTCAATACACCTCATGCAACATGATCAGATGTTACTATGATTCTTATCCCCCAATGTAAAGCTTATGTACTAGAGCACCAAGGAAGTTCTTTTGTCAACTTACCCATACACGCCACAAGAAATGGCAGGAAATGCAACATATTGAATGTTGTTTGATTTGGCTATGCTCAAGCTGTTCCTGTAATCAAGTTTCATGAAAGGAATTTCAATCAGGAGTAACAAATTAAACTACCAAAAAAGCAGCAGCAAGAAACAGATAACAACCTGTATGCAGCACTCAGATAAACTTCTGGGTTACTGCCAGAACGGTAGATCGGTCCAACAGTGTGAATTACATGAGAAGCAGGCAACTTAAAACCTCTGCATCAAGCACAATGTATTTTGATCACTGCTTATGTGGCGTACGAATCAAAAACCAAGTGATGCCATAAGAACAAAGAGTAGTTAAATCATGAGAACTTACGGGGTAATCCTTGCTTCTCCAGTGGGACAACGGACACCTGGCCTGACTTCTGGGACACTATAGCATGCTTGTAGAAGATCTGGGCCAGCAGCCCTATGTATAGCTAAAAGATCATTGAAAATCAATAAAGTTCAAAAGATCAACATAGTAATAGAAAACCATATCGGAAAACAAAACTACCTCCATCTGCACCACCACCTCCAAGCATTCGCTCATTTGCTGGATTAACCTACAAAAATATGTCTATCAATATGCAATAAACCATGCTCAAATTGATGACAACCAATGTGTGATCATTGAAAGAAATTACACGAAACTGGAGTATCTTTCCAGAAACATGGCACTAGTATTCAGTGAGAGCAATTTGGCACATTCATGGAGCTGATAATAACAGTGCATAATAACATTGAGAAAATCTAACAAATAATCTAATTTTACACAAAATTGAACATCCTGATTTGAGGTTTTGTTGTCCCAGTAAGAGAAAAACAAACATATTGACCATGTTAAGAGTCAAGACCCAAAAGGCTCAAAAGTTCCCTGCTTTCTTTTTCCTGTTATTTCTCGGGAACCACACAGAAGAAAACAGTATTACAAAGTCCAGAGAAAGAGAGAAGGACTGACGATGGCGTCTGTGGAGCCGTCGATGAACCACTTGGTGATATCTCCCTTTTGGATGACAAGAGTGCTTGAAGCAGATAAAGGGAAGCGAACCGCTCCTTCTCCATTAGACATGGTTGAAAGCTTAACGGAGCAGCGAAATTTTGCAGGGTTTGGTGCGAGTCTGAGTGTGAAAGCTGAGCTGAGAAATTTAGATGCTTTACTCAGGTCGCTGGGCATGGCACATTTGGTACAGCCACAGAGAGAGAGAGAGGGAGAGAGCAAATGGGCACAATCTAATTTGTTGGTTTTGCTGTGCATATGACGAGCTTTGGGCCAGCCCAGAACCCAGGCCCAGTCACATAATTTGACTTTCACACATGACCTTCTTCAACCTCGAACCAAGCTGTTTCATTTCATTTCCTTTTCTTCTTCTTGTTATCAGAACCTGAACATTAATCAACCATATCATTAAATCCTCCATTTACAGGGGAGAGATGAGTAGGTCTCGAATAGATGCAATTCTCTCCACATTCGTTGCGGTGCATCCTCACGAGACCTCAGCTTTGCTGCACTCGTCATCTTGCTTCTTCTTTGTAAGCCTGTCTCAGCTGTTACTCTGTTTCTCCTATATTTTTCAATCCCTTTGCTTAATTGCATTACTTTCTTAAGTTTATGAATTGGGTTTTTGTGTTTTTAGCTTAATTTTGATTATCAATGCAGATTTTGTGTGCCTACTTCGTGGTGCTTCCATTGCGCGATGAGGGTGCAATCTCTTTAGGCCTATCGAGCCTCCCGGGTCTGTTTGTGGGGTCTTTGGTCCTCACTTCGATTGCTGCGCCGGTTGCAACTCTCATTTTCTCTTTGCCTAATGTTTCTAAAGGCAAGGTATGTGCGTATCCACCATTTGCTATATACCCAGTTTGGATATGGAGTTTGAAATTTTTATTTTTACTTAAAAAACAAACGGAGGTAGCTAGTTCTTACCAGATTTTAATTTCTGTTTCTTTACATGTCGCTCTGTAATAGTTGCTTCTTGAAATTCCAGGCTTTGGTTTTAATGCACAGGTTTTTTAGTGTATCACTTGTTGTATTCTTCTTTCTCTGGCATTTCTCATCGGCTGCAGCACAACAAGAGGTGAAGGTGAGGTGAAATCTCATGAGCTTACAATTACTTCTGATTTGGTTGCTTTTATACTGTAGGAATATGATTCTGGGTTTATTCATTCATATTGATAGCTCCCTTCTTTGTATATAGGGTTTGGTCACTATGTCCTCTTCAGTAAATGGCCAAAATGTTGATGTTGATCAAGCCACTACTGCATATTCCATAGGGTGGGAGAACCTTGGTTGGTTCTATGTCTCTGTCAGAATTGGATTGTTCCTCTGGGTATGAATATGTCGAAATCACTTTTTTCAAAAACTATTAGAAACTTTTTGTGTGTATCAAAAATAATGTATTTATCAAGTTTTGTATGGTGATACAAGTTTCTTCTTTTTTGAAGATTGCCCTACTTAATCTAATAACAATTTCTTCCACTTGGGCTCGAGTAATCGATGTTATGGACAGTGAGGTATATATCCTGCCACACGAATTTGATGGCAACTAAAAAATTTTGTCACGCATTTACCTTGTTCTGTATTCAGTCAGGTTCAAGATTATTTGGTTTTATTGGTGCTGGCGCCACACTTGGACAGCTTTTTGGGTCATTGTTTGCCACGGGAATGGCTAGGTTGGGGCCGTGTATGTTTGCTCATCCAGACTTTTGAAATTTGATATTTTCTCTGTGTGTGATGTGTGATGGGTTTTATACCATGCATTGTTTTGTTGCAGTTCTACTGCTATTTTCTGCATTGTTAATGGAGTTTGCTGCACAGTCATCAAAAGGGATAACCCTGGATGTATCCCGTGTCCATGTCCCTGAGGAATTATCACCCATCAGGTCAACCATATTAACAAATTTCTCTTTGATTTCTTTAACATGGTATTCAAACTGACAAGATCTCTTTGCTGGAAGGTGGAATTTGGATCAGAAAAGTGAGCCTATGAATTATCTTATCGGTTACAATTTTGTAAAAATCTCTCTAGTTCTTGACTTGGTTTCTTCTTTGGTATTAGAGAAGCTGACACTGATCGGAAAAGTGAGCCTGATGGGCAAACCATTTGCAACAGAGGAAATTCCCCTAAGTCACCTACTCTGGTGGTGAAACCTCAGATTTGGGCCATCTTAGATGGATTTTGGCTTATATTGGCATCATCTTACTTGTTGTATGTATCTTTGTTCCTGTGGCTGAGTGCAGTTATCTCTTCATTCTTTTATTTTCAGGTAAGACCATCCACTGTCATGAGTTCGAACTTAGTATAAATCAGCCTCTCTATCTGTGTTACTTGTCTTGATTGTCTGTAGATATGATGCCTCTCCCAGTATATTTTAATTTTCCTTTCCTCCTGTTTGCTGTCTGTGGAGGAACTACTTAATGATTTGGCATCTACTTATGAGAGTTTTAAGGAACTGGCTTTCTGCTTTTTCCAAGAATCAGATAAATTAATGTACTCTTAATTTCATTTATCTGATCAATGGCAGTATGATTCTTCTTATGTATTGTGCTCCATTAGATTTTTTTTAACTCTGTATAGCATGCAGTGTAATTAACTTGAGCGCTGATGTGAATTTTATTAACCAACTCTTTCCTTTCATTCTTTCTGACTTTCTGCTGATTCTTATCTCTGTTTTTCTGTAACTGCAGAAAGTGAGTGTCATTGCCATGACTGTTACTAGCTCTATTGGAAGAAGAAAATTGTTGGCTCAGATAAACAGCTTTATTGCTGTATTTATCCTTGCTGGACAACTTACCATAACGGTATGCAGTTCTTAGGATGAGCTTTTGTTATGTAGTTATTGTTTTCTCTAGTTTTTAAAGTAATTAACATGAGATATGCTGTGTAGAATGTTTCCTTACTGAAAGTGTATACTGATTAGCTAGTTCATGTTTGCAGCTGTTTTTAAATTTATCGCCTTTCAGCTTTCCTGTTGAAGGCTATTTAGGTGCCCTATCCTTTTAGATTTCTGATGTAACTAGAATGAAGAAAGAAAGCTAGTCTCATGCCTGGATATGTTTCTATTTCTAGACATTTTAAGAAAAATTAAATATTCTTGAAGCAAATCGGGGAGCGTTTTTAGAATGCCGACTTTTTGGATTTTGATAGTGTTTTTAGAATGAATGTTGCTCCGAAAGTGCTATGCCATGTAACTGATCTATTACATGGTTAAACTGTGTATTTACTGATGTATTTACTGTCTTAGAATTCCAACAAATGTTTCCTCTTATGCATATATTTTATATCATCTATCATCATGGGCATTAATGTATAATCACTTTCCTATGTTTTTATGGCACTTTCACAGGGGCGTTTTCTAACTGTTGTGGGGGTCACTACAGCTATTTGCGCTACTCCATTTGTTGCGTTCTTAAATTTGGTTGCTATAGCTGTCTGGCCAACTTGGGTGGCCGTCGCAGTTTCTGAGACCCTCCGGAAGGTTTGTATTCTCCAACTTCTGGGTTCCGTTTTTACCCTTTCAAAGTTTATCTTATAACTCAATTTAACCAAGATGTCTGCAGGTAAATTGCTTGAAACATGTTAATTGTATGTAATATGCATAGGTGAATCTTTTTGCATTCTGGGAGAAAGATGATCTTACAGTTTTCTTTCCTTTTTTTTTTCTTGTGTGCAGTTTGTCACTTATGTTGTGACCAGGCCTGGCAGAGAACTTCTATTTACTGTTGTCTCACAGGATGAAAAATACAAAGCCAAGGCATGAGCTTCTAAATTCTTTTTACATAGAAAATTGGTTTTTTTTATAAAATATGTTCATCTACGAAACTGTGTGACTTGGTGCTTGCTGTTGGTGTCTTAGTTTCCTCTATATGAGAAAGTGCTTTAATAACTTTGATGCATGCATTGGCGCTTGCTATATAAAGTAAAAGACCAAAAAGATGTCTTCGCTATAGCCATTCCACTCAATACAGGATCTCTTATTTGGTGTCTTATTTTGCATTAATTGTGTCATGTGCAACTTTAAGCAAATCACCGAACTATTTGAGACATTATTTCACTAATTACATGAACTTTTCAGTACTGTTGATGGGAGAGCATCAACTGTGTCTCTTTACGGCCTGCCTGTATGTGTGAAATCTCATCCCTCTCCAGTTTTCTTTTTCGGTTCGGGTATAAAAACACAAATTTGGTTCCCTGGACCTTAATGATTCCTTCTCCCCCAAGTCCAATGGTGGATGTATCCTGTTCTGTAGTTGTTTCTTAAAATCCTGTGTTTAGCTTTATGAATTGTTGTCTCCCGAGTTTTATTTGGCACTTGGAATTTGTAAAGGATTTGCATCTTTTTTCCTGACGATTTCTCTTCATCCATCAAAGAATAACGAAGTATATCTCTTTGATCTTTTCCAGGTCTGTTTGCTGTGGATAGTGATCGCGTTTCATTTAGGCCGCCGTCAAGCAGAACTTGCAAAGCTCCGGACTCATTCGACTTCCTAATGTTTCCTCGTCACATTTTTAGCTGTTTATATACATAAAGATGAATCATTTATGAACTTTTAAAGTACTACAATTATAAGAAGTTTTGTTAGCTCTTTTGTTATAGACATTACACAAGGGCAGCTTGCCAGTCAGTTTTTTGGTATATGATGTCATACATGATGTAACGCGTGTGCCTTTTAGCAAACGCATTAGTAAATTAACAAGCCAATATTAACCTTTGTATCTACTGTTTTTATCCATGTACGCATTGATGATTAATTAGAAAAGAATTGCACTTTACGGATGCATTAATAATATCTGATTTGCAAGTACACAATACTGTGATTGCCATCTCAATGCCACATCTATTGTGGTAACATTTTTGTTTTATTTATACACTAAGCTAAATACTCTTAAGGTGGATGGAAAAAAGGATGAGCATGCTTGAAAGTCATCCATCCAGCCTGCACAACCCAACATGCCTTCACAATAATAGCAATCATGGTAGGAAAATTGTATGGCAGCACATTACAAGATTCTTAAGATATGAATCAGTTTACTCAAAATATGTGGAAAAAGATTACAACAAAAAGGAGCAAAAGCAATTTTTTCAGTGTCTGCATTTTAGCAAGGAAACTATTTTGTGAGAAATCCTAAACGCTATATGAGAAAGCCAGAAATCATACAATACCAAGTGTGTTCTAAAGAAATTTTGGGCAGAATCGTATTGCCAGCCATGCTTTGGATATGAGAATGGCATCCGATTTAGAACAGACTAGAAGGTTTGCAGGAGAATCTGTATTTTTCATTTTACTTTTTCTGGAGAGGTGTTGGAGGTACACCAGAAGTTTGACAAATCACCAACAGCCCAAGACGGCTGAGCAAGGCAACCAATCAATTTTTACAGAGCTGTAACTTCACTTTCTTTACCCATGATGCAAAATATGACACGCTAACAGATCAACTACAAGAATAGCTGTCCAGTCAAGGACAGGTTTCTTGGAAAGCTCATCAACAGACACAGCCCTTGAGGTTCCATAGCAGGCTGTCCTGTGATTATGGATTAAGTTTAAAACAAGAACTGCTTACCTAAGTGCTCAAGTTCCACGGAGAGAATAGACGCGGTCTCGAATCAAGTTCCTTTCCCAATCTGCTATATCCTCAAATGCATATTCAGGAAGATTCTCAAAGGGCTCCTTCCATGGATCATTCTTGGTCAGATCATAGGTAGCTCCACGTATTGCCCTCTTATTTGGGCCACAAGGTCTCTTGGAAGTTAGTGCATCGTATGCTGCATTCAGCTGCACAGAGTCACAATAGCTGTCAAATTTTTGAACAATTCCTTAACTGAAGCAATGAAAAAGAATATCACTTTCTTGAATAATATGGTCATCCTTCAGGTTTCATAGCCTTTCAGACTTCATAAAGGTCTAAAAACATTGCTGGAATGCTAAAGTGTTGCATGTTAAAAGGCTGTCAGCAAAAGGATTTTGGCATTGTGCATTTCTCAATGAAAGATAGAGAAATTGATAGATAAACAAGGACTCACATTCATTCCAAGGAACCAGTACATGTAAGCAATTGCAACAGCTGGGGCCCTTCCCAGTCCAGCAGTGCAATGCACATACACCTTTCCTTTTCCCTCAGATATGGCCCATTCTAGCGATGAAACTGCTTTAGGTAGACCAATTCGCAAGGAATCTGGATCGAAATCCTTTGCCTACAATGCATTGAAATTATTAAAAAAAAAAAAAGAGTAAGGAAAATGCACAAACATAAGTTTCCATATCCCCTAAATGTGCTTTCTATTAATGTACGATCCAGAAAACTTATTATATTGTGGGTCTCTGAAAGGTTTCCAACATCCAGAAAAATTGTTTATTGTTGGTCTGGAATGTTTTCCAGAACAGAGCATGAGGCTTCTGCAATCCAAAATCTTGTGTCTAGAAACCAGCCATCAGTAAGATGTGGGCTAAGACAAAAAATTATGCTACGTTTAGAAAGTTTGGGACCTTGTCCATGTCATTTTAGTATGAAACCCTATGAATATACTTTATCTGTTAAATAAACGTTGCAAAGGATTTTTGCTTACCGGCCTCCTCATGTGACGGATTCCAAGTTCTTTACACCTTTTTATTATTGACTGCAAGTCAATTCCCCAATACTCAACATCCGTGTCCTGCTGCAAGTTTAAAATGTATGCCACATTCTCTTCTTCCTTCAGGTGATCTATATCTTCAGGTTTCTGAGGCTGGGAGCCCACAATCAAGTCATCAGTTATCAATGTGTAGTTCATGCCTGAACATTGGACAGTAACAATCACATTAGTTGAAGTAACCAGAATGAATTACACGGTACTACTCTTTCTACTGGTAAATGGAATGGGACTTGTTTGTTTCTTTATCATGTCGAAAAGCGAAGGTCGTTCGCTTAAACTTGACCTATTATCATTGTCCTAGTTATTCTGAATTCAGAACAAGAAAATGCAACATAAGGTTCTGGTTCCTTATTGATTGATAGAAACGGAAATCCGAATCCTCAACAACCTCAGCAAAATGGCATTCCCTGCTGCTTAATATCGTAGAAACATGCATACACATATGAGCATGATGTGATCATAAGTAGCTAAAATATTCAAGGTCCTAGCAAAGTGATGAACTTATCCCCCAAAGAAAAACAGTTTTTTATGCCAATAAAGAGGGAAAGAAAAGGAAAAACAGTTTCTGCAGCGGCAATGCAAACTTTTCTGTGGCACCCACTTCCATAAGGGAATTTTAAATTAGGCAAGAATTTCTTAAAGAGAAAGGTGCAATGAAAAGTTAATCAGTAACTATCTCAAAGCACTAGTACTCCATTTAAGTAAGTAAAGATGAAAAGTGTGCAACTGGGTCATCCAGATCATACACGCCCACTCTAGAAATATGTGAAAGGAAGCACTACAAACAACTTTTCGTTCTGGTCATTATAGCACATAAAGGAACAAAAATTAAAATACAGTAACATAGATTTCAAATGGGTTGTTAATAAATTGCATTTAGCAAACTAAAGAACTAATCTTTTCAACAACAAAAAAATCAACTAATCAGAAAAAAATAGAAAGACCCACAACACTGTCCACTTAAAGCAAGACTCTTTGAATTCATATGACAAATCCATCACAAGAAATGATAATAAAATGAAAACAAAACACAGAACCATCCATAAACAAACTGATTCTTATAAAAGCACAATGAAATTACAAAAAAAATGGTTACAAAATGTGAATGCTTGACATAAAAGATGGGGAAGAGACTGACCCAGATCATGGTGATACTCATATGGGTTCCTCATCATCCTCTTCATAGCTGTGTTGTACTCCTCGATCGTGTTCTTGGAATTGGAAGGTCTGCTGCTTGTGGGGTTCTTTTCAATTCCACAAGAAACTTTGTTCAATTTGAAGGAATCATTGGAAACCATGAAACAATTGCATGGAGATTTCTTAATCTTCTTCAAAAAGACATCATTTTCAAAAGGAGCTATGAAGACTGAACCAAAACAACCGTTGCCAACACTCGCCATTTCTCTCCAGCTTCTTTCCCCGTCTTCTCCCTGTTAGTTTGGAAACCAGAAATTTATACCATATAAGTAATCTGTCCAAAATGCCCTTGGCCTGCACCCAAATTCCCAATGTGAGGCCAGTGAATCTTCCAAGTTCCCAAGATGATATTTTCTTATGCAACAGATCGATTTAGGATCATAAAATCAGGTTGCCCATGGACCATATTATTGGTTCACTAAAATCCAACCTTTTTAGTAAACTATTTTGGCATGTGGTTTTCACTTTTCAAGAAGTAGAAGTTTAGACCACTTTTCAAAGACTTCACCTTTTGTCTACAGCCAGCCATGAATGGTTTCATTTTCTAATTTTCTGAACTTTTTTTGCAGTTGATAAAGTGTACCTTCTCTCCTTCTAGTGGCAAATATGAAGGCTTATTAGAACAGTAGATTTTTCCCCTGTTTTGGGTCAACAACAAGAACACATACTATTTGTCGATCTGCATCCGACTATCAAATAGTGGAGGCATCAAACAGGCCGTGTCGGGTTGTTGTAATTTGATAATAAATACACAAGAAACATATTAAATATGATTAAATAATTAATCATGGTTTAGACTTAGAGACCATCAAATTGTCGCCAGACAAACTCAAAAAACATATCTAACGAAACTGAACTGGTGTCATTTCACATGAGAACCAGCATACGTGTACACTGCTGCGGCTACAAACATCAAATCATATTCTTATTTGTCTCTTGGGTTTATTTGATTCTGTTTTAATAAAAACTCCAAAACATGGCTTTTCAGGATTAGAAGACACTTGCACCATGGTTGATGTTTCATGTCAGATCAACACTCAGGCAAGAATATGTTCTCAACCCAACTTTGCTTCTCTCTAGCTTTTGTGCTTTTTCTAGTTTTCACTGCAGAATTATGTTTATCATGTGGATTAGTAGCAAAAAGAATATTGATCATCTGTCAAATTTTCAGCTAAACCAGCCAATCATCTATCAAATTCCTGCCCATGTACGATCGTACGCGTAATCCAAGTCTCAATAATTTGTACACAGAAAGAAAAAAAAAAACAAAACAGAAGGTGGGGGATTAATGCTCTTGTTGTGAGTTTGGTTTGGTGCATACTTTAGGATCAGTCAGTTAAATCCCCACTCAAACAACACAAGGACAGGTGTTTGGTCTTTGGTCTTTGGTTGGTAATAAAATCCCCCACTAAACTCTGCCTGCTTGATTTAGATGGTCCCCTGAAGGAACATTGTGAGTTGAGTTGTGGCTTTCATTATCATAGATAGAGGCCAATTAGCCAAACCAGAAAATACTAAACCAGAATTTTCGAGTCCTTTAAACCCATCCCACCACACTCATTTAAATTTAAATTCAACCTGGAGATGAGAATATCACTTGTTATACCGAATCTGAAGTTGATTTTCACCTGTCCTGGTTGAATGGCAAGTGCCATTATTTGCTTCATTTTAGTATACTTTATGTCATTAATCTTATCTTGTGGCATGAAAAAAAAAAGCATACTTTATGGCTTATGCGCAACCTCTTTTTCTATTTGTTTAACAGATTTATTAGCAGAACCAATTACAAAGAAGAACATATCAAAGGGTATGGATGGCAGAAAGGCAAAATACGTATGTGGTCACACAACTATATATACATTATTATATTATCTTTCACTAAAAAATGTAACTATGGAATACTACTACTTGGCCATCCTATTGTAGTATTCTATAATTTCTCGTAACAATAAAGAAAAAAGACAAATAGATAAGGTCTTATTACTGTGTTGGTTAAGATAAAAAGTTCCAATTGGTCATACATACATTTTCTATGAACCCATATCCCCAATTTTCCTATATTGAAAATTGAAAAATTAAACCTCAATTTCAAGCACTTTTGCAGTTGGGTTTTCTCCTCTAATTTGGTCATGTGCCCCATTGACCCCAACACCTCCTGCTTCTCCCTTTACAATCCCAAGTTTCACAAAAAGTTCATGGCCCCAATCCCATATGTGCAGCACAATGAAAGTCCCAATTCCACCAATGAGCCCGTAGGCTATTGAGTAGGTCAACGGCATCAGTATCAACGTCACAAAGGCTGGGATTGCCTGTCGCATGTCGTCCCACTCAATCTCCACCACTGACTTCATCATCAGCACCCCAACCAAGATCAACGGCGGGCCCACGGCCCAAGCTGGAATTGAAGCCAATAACGGCGTGAAGAAAAACGCTAAAAAGAAATACCCTGCCACCGTTAGCGCCGTTAGCCCCGTACGTCCGCCCTCCCGTATACCCGTAGATGACTCGATGAATGTCGTTACGGGTGATGTGCCGAGCAAGGACCCCACCACAATTGATGTAGCATCTGACATGAAAGCAAAGTATTGACCTTCAAAATTACCGTCTTCATCTGCAAAACCGGCGAATCGAGCCATGGAATAAAGAGTTCCGGTAGTATCGAGTATATCTACGTATAAAAATGTAATTAGTGCTTCCCAAAAATACCCCTTTCCTATACTTTTGAAGCTCAAGGCCCCGGCCGTACTCTCGATCGTATGTACATCCACGACCTTCTTGAAATACTCATAGGCCGAGTCACCTGCCTCCGTTTTTGGAAACGCCGTTACCTCAGTGTTACGGAACCACGAAACGGCCGTTACAAAAACAATGCCGTAAATCATAGCTCCTTTAACATTTTTCACCAAACAATACGCAATGATTATGAAGCCAACGACGCCGAGCCAAAACGTCGGGCTTTCCATTCGGTCACGGAGACACAAAATATCGCCAGACACCGTTCCGCCCTCAATCAAACTAACGGTGCCGTTAGCGGCCGCTATGACGGGAGCCAACGAGGCCCGAGACGAAGCGGGGCAGGCTCCGAGTGTCACTAGCGTCGACGAACTGTACCCAATTAACCCGATTCCCTGGTTGCTTTGCAACCCGATAAACGCCAAGAAGAGCCCGATACCCGCGGAGGAGCTGATCCGTACCGGCTTCGGAACCAGTTTAGCGAGTTTGGCGCGTAACCCGACTGCGGAGATGAAGAGGAAAATCAAGCCTTCGATGAAGACGGCGGCTAAGGCGCTCTGGTACGAGACATTACCCGACCCGTGAAACCCGACGACGGTGTAAGCGAAATAGGCGTTGGCGCCCATTCCCGGGGCTAAAGCTAGAGGGAGATTAGCGAAAACGCCCATTATGAGACAGCCGATCAGAGAAGAAGCGACGGTGGCGACGATGAGGTCTTTGCGGACCCGGTCTAAGCAGGCGGAGTAGCCCGGGTTGACCGGGTCGAACTTGCAGGAGGGGTCGGGTTGGATGACCCGGAGGTTGGGCCCGGTGCAGTTCTGGAGGGATTGGGTCGGGTCGGAGCAGAGCTGGACGCAATCGGATACGCTGCAGGTGCCGCCGGAGTCGGAGAGGATGGAGGCGTTGACGGCGAGGATGTAAGCCATGGTGAGAAACGTGGCGGTGCCGGCCCGGAGCTCGGTGGTGAAAGTGGAGTTGCGCTCGGCGAGTTTGAAGTGCTTGCCGACTCGGGTTTCGGCAACGTACTTGTTGAGGCGAGTTAAAGGTTTCAAGGGGCGTGGTGGCGGTGGCTCGTGAGGCTCCATGACCATTGAAGAAGTTTGAAGTTTGTGTTGTGCTGTTGGGTTTAAAGAGCTTGAGAGCTTAGGAACTTGGAAGTTTACTGGTGTTTGCTTAACTCGGTCTGTACATGGAGATGGTGACGGTGATGCGGGCGTGGGCTCTGTTGTATGTAATGTATGTGTTTTTATATAATAATATGAATAAATATATATATATATATATATATATGTAGATAGAGAGAGAGAAGTGGAAGATTAGTAATGCCAAAATGTTATTTGCGTGTGAAGGGAAAGATTCCAAGGGAGAGGGATCTTTTATGCAGTGAAAGGTATCTCCAAAATTGGAAATTGTATTTCTATTGGATCTTCATAGTGTTGGTTTTGTGTCTAGAGTTGTGCTAACAATCTCAAGTAACACATGATTGGTTGTTCACTGTGGATGTATCAAATGCTATCATCACTTATATCAACAATTGACAATCACTCACCTACGTATGTAATTGTATTACTGTGCGAATATCTTGTTTTGTCAACAATAATCCCAACTAAATCGCCAATAATGACTTGAACTTCTCTAATGACATCACTTACACAAAATAAGTCAGGATGGGTATTTGAATTATGGGTATCATATTGATGATTTCGTCTACATTTACTAGCACATGAGTATTACAATTATTCTTATTCCTAATTACCTAAAAAATCATGAATTACTTTGGTTAGGGAATAGTCGATCTAATTCCAACTCATTATTTCCATATTCATAATTTCCCGATACATGACCTGTCTCATTCCAAATAAACATATAAATTTTTCCAATAAACTATAATTCTTATATTTTATCTTTTAAAATAAAGTCAGAGAAATCGTTCTGGACAGACGAAAACATAAAAATGTTGATTGCATCTTTTGTCTTTCTTATTAATCATGATGTGAAAGTTGAAGAAAAACTATGCATTGAATTTACCCTTAATTGGTTACCTAATCTCTTTCTTTGAAAGAAAATTTCCTAAACATAATCGCTCGTGTGAAAATCTTGACGGCAACAATCATGGAAATATTTTTTTTGAAATAAACGTTTTTGCCAAAGCATTCATATGTGGTCAAATAGGACGATCATTATCATATATTTATTTAAAATGAAATTATGAAGGATAGAGACACTCTTGCCTTGTGAGCTCAGATTAAAATTTAAAAAAATTTAAAAAATAATTATGGGAGAGGAGAAGAGGTGACAAACTTGATAAGTAATGCATATGTCACGTCAAAGAAGAACACAATAAATTAAATTGTGAGCTGTGGTGTTATTTCTCAATCTGAAATATTGTGACCAGACCAAACCCACCAAGACCCGTAACCAAATTGGTTAAAGTTCAAAGTCAAAGTGAAAAGGTTGACACATATAATATATAGTGCGACTTTATTTTTTAACTTTTTCTTTGCCCAATTTTTCAAACAAAAATCCTAGGCAATGCTGTTATTCAACGGTCATGATCTAATGTTTGTTTTGATTCAACCGCTCATTTTGGTTCACAGGACGTGGGAACATGTAACAATAGTGGCTGCTGCCGCCGTCCCGTTTCCAAATTTAAAAGTGATGATGATCGCAGGTGGAGACAAATAAACAATAAAACCCACAGGTTATGCCTTGAGAGGCTCAAGTTGACTTTTTCCAACCAGAGAAAAATTTGCAGTACAAATTGTTCTTCTTGTCTTAATAGTTTGATTAGCATTTTGTTATGAAAACTGCGGCTAGTTTGTTTTCACACTCAACGTCGACACCACTACTCTCCATAATAATCATACTATACTTTTCAAAATATTAAACTGGTGCGGGGTTACCACCAGAGTTATTGTGTCCTTCCTCTTGCCCTTTGCTCGACACCTAAGATCGAAATTGAAAGGGAAATATTCATAGCTGATACTTATTTTGTTTGTTTTTGTTATTTATTTTAAATCAACGCTAGCGAGTAATTAATTGAAACCAAATTACCAATCGGGATCAACCTTAATTATCGGCATAAGAACCTTCGTCTGCCTCTCTGTGTTGTGTGCTTAAAGTTATGATGCAACTTGCGCAGCTGGAGCGTGTATATATATATATAGAAAGCTGGGGGTCAAACTGCAATAATTCCCACCTTTCAAGGATCTAATAGTGGATTCCACGTAAGATTATTATTTTTTTGGGTGTAACCTCTTATTCTAACCAAGCTGTTAATCAGTAAAACCCATCTGTCAATTTTGAACTATTCAACCAAATTAATGTTTTCTTGGAGTGTATAACTGCTGTTAAAGACAGTCGCAGTCAGTGAATCGTTAATGAAAATGAATTTCACAACTTTATAATTGATGACAACTAATTATGCACGCATGAACGACTGTCGTAAATACGCATTTGAACTGATGTTTTGTTCTTTCTTATCTAGATAGAGGGCCTAACAGTCCAATTACTGTGATATCTCCCGTACGTGTTCATGCAAAGTTGGGTGACTATCTATCATGATTCATGAGAGTCATTAATTCTGGCCAATTGTCAAAGTTTGAGAGGCCCCAAACACCCATGTATAGTAATTAATTAATAGAAATTTGATGAACATATTCATAAATACGTACAGTCAAGTGTGTAAAGCTCTTCAATTATTGAGTGACAACTTCACGAGAGCAGTGTCCTTGTTGGTGAAGGCACAGTAGTTTTCAGAATTGAATGCCATATCTACTTCCATGGACACTTACTCAGACAGGATATGGGCAAGAAAAGAAGACACTCTCTGATCATATCAGAAATTGCACAGCAGCTCACAGACATGTATGAATTATAAATATATATATGCCAAAAAACAACATAGTAAATGAAAATGGGACTCAAAGTTGTTCGAGTTAGGTATGTGCTTTAAAATGTGCCTATAAATTTGCAGGCTTTTTTGTTCCAGGAGAATTAAAGAGGAGAAAAGAAAGAAAGAAACCCAAGAAGAAGCTGCCATGCCAGCTATTTGGTGTTGAAAAAACAGACACCATTCAGAAAAAGAAATTGCCCTTCTTTTCCCATGCCAAACCAACCTACCTATTCCGTGATGACTTTTTTTTTTCCCCACCAAAATCATATTTACCTGCTTCCATTGTAATTATAATATTATTAATGAATAAGCTGGTTTAAGCGATGTGATCAGTCGTGCCTCTTCAGCTGGATGCCATTATTTATCTGCTTTCTGTGAGGGGGAATTATAATCATATCATGGTAATGCAAAATTTTCCTTTAGATGATTATGACAAGCACAAAGGGATAAATCCTTGAGGGATTCGGATTAAGCAGGAATTGGCCACCGCGCCCCCCACCATGAGGAACTTTTCAAAGTCCAGAAAAGTAATAATCATATGTTATATATCATTTAAGACAAAGTTTCTTTCTTGTATAAGTTAAAGCGACAATGATGGAGGACATATTTGAGAAGGGTTTTAATTAGTTTGAGAAAATTGGCATCTCATATTATCATTAGGTTTGCTGGACCCGCAATTTGCCCCACTTGTATAATCATGTCATCTAGTTGGGTGATGTAAGTTGAATTTCGTGATGATCAATTTTTTTTTTCCACTTTGATTATTTCATTTATATGAATCTTACATGCATCAACGATCGAGAATCGTTTATTCACCTGACGGAGCGTAATATCTAACTTTTGCATTGTTTAAAGCAAATCCATAATTAAGTGGGATATGCTTAGTGTAAGAAACATTTCTTATTCCCTAATGATAGGATTTTTCACTGAATCCCCAACCAATTTAGACAAAAAGAAAAAACAATGCATTAATAACACTTGGTACTGGGCCCGCAATTTCCTTAGTGTGGCACTATTTTCTGATTCATCCATTGTGTGAGACTTTTGAATGGCCAAGAAGAAGGTAAGAAGCTTTTTTCTTTTTCTTTTTCTTTATTTTTTTTGACATTCCACAGTCTACATACATTTCCATATATATTTCTTTGAAAGCATGCAGGACAAAGCTCTTTCGGCTTTCCTTTGGTTAGTGAAAGGTGATTTGATGTTGAAGTACAAGTTGCTTCAAATATCCCAATCTCTCAATCCCATATGTTGCTTCCAGCCATCCAAAAGATCCAAACTTTTTTTCTTCCTCTCCACATATATCTCATGAATATATATATATATATATATGTTAGGACTTAATTTGGTTGGACTTTTCTTGAGCAAAAATTGTATGTCATTCTAATCCTAACCTTTTCTTTTGCTAAATCCACCTCTGGGATTGGGGTTCCTTCTTGTAATTGACCCACAATTTGTCTACAAAGGTAATTAACAACAAAAGGAAATCCAAAAACACCATTAGAAAACCTTAATATATATATTAGTCACTGTTCAACTTTGAAGTTGAAAAAGATTTGACATTGAAAGAGTATTATGTGATCAAGAGAGTGATAATATTGGGAGGAGAGAGAGAGAGAGAGAGAGGTTGCTTTTCCTTTGAATTGAATGTATGATGAAGAAGGCATTGGGTTGCTTGGCAAAGACGTCGGCTTTCTCATGGTCGCCTATAATATCTTTAAAATGGTAAGCGTGAAAGTTACATGAATGACATGACAACCAATAGAATATATATCTTGTGAGGAACTCATTGATTTTTGAGTTGAGAAACAAGGATAAGGAAACAAAACCCCTACAAACATGAATTATCCACTCAAAACTATCCCATTAATTATATATTAAAGTGGTAGAGCCCATCTCGAAGGCATATCACACCAGGCAACTCAAGTTTGATGCATATAATCTGCTTTATTATATATTTCTAAGTGTCCCATTTCTAATATTTAGTGTATAATTGTAGATATTGGTTTAGCCAAACTGGTTAGAGCGGACGTGTTCCTCACTTTGCACCCGAATTCGAATACCCCTTTCCGTAGTTTAAATTAGATTGAAGTAGAATATATTCATTATATAATTAAATTACAATACTTTTTTCCATGGGCCAAATTAAAAGGCAAAAAATAATAAGAACAAGAAGAACAAGAAAAGAGTATGGTGCATGCATGATGCATGTGACATGTATAATATAGCTTTAGCAAGTGGAGATGGAACCCCTTATGGCTTATGAGGTGGAGACAATTTAGGATGGTTATGATCATATATACCATCTCTTTCTTCAGTCTTCTTTGTCGATCTTCAATGGGACAGTGGAGAACCAATCTTGTTTCTTTTACCATTTTCTTATATCTGTGGAAATCATGTGGGCTCTCTCTCATCGTTGCCCTTGAAACGTTTCTAATACTAATAAAAAGTTTTTCATAATATCTTCCCCTGTAATCTCCAACCCCAAACCTAAACTTTTATGCATTATTTTTCAACACTAATTAAATTAAATTAAACAATTCCGAATCGGAATTTGAATTATGAGTCAATCCTTGTGGGTTGCCAGCAGCATTGTACCTGCCCTTTGATTCCACCAAATTCGAAGGAGGAGGTCACGTGGCCAAGCATGTGTTGGCCCATCCCAAGTCGATGATTCTTGTTGACCAGATTCTGATGATTAACCAATTAAAACTGGTTGGTTTTTAAGGTCTTGAAATTTAGGGGTGATAAAACAAAAATAGAAATATGCTTCACGATGTAGTGCTTTTTTTTCCTCTCTTTTTTTGTGCATCTTGCTTGATTTGGTGGCCATGCAGGTGCAGCAATCAGATGGAATATGCTAACATGGGTTCATGCCAGCTGCTCCAAATGATGATGATGATAAAAAGTCGGATACCTTTATCATGACAAGTGACTCAAATAATTTTTTTTTGGTTGTGTGGATAAAGATGTGTAAAATGGATATGTTTTGTCACTAGCCATTTCAATACAATTCATGGCTTGAGCCCAAAAAAGTTAGAGCCTAGCCAAACCTATCCATGGCTCTGCGTATGGTGATATAGAATCCGAGACCCGAATAGGGAAAATACTTCCCTCCTTCCCTTGTAAATGGGAACTTCCATATTTATGCTATTGACAGGAAGATCTCTTTCTTGGGAGGAGGCAAGAAGTATCACCCAAATAGTTGAGTCCACCTGATGGGTCTGAATTTGTGATGAAGGTTAGCATGTTGGTTCTTATCAGTAGCAGCTTATAATAAACTTCGCAATGGTTACCAAATGTTGTATGGGAAATGCAGAAAATGTACACATGAAGATTGTGATTATATTGAGCTCAGGTATAAGCTTTGATATTTTGTTAAAGATTAGACTGATAAAAGGGAAAAGATTTTAGGCCTCACTCATAATAATATTTGACTTCAATAAGCTTACAGTTTCAATTGAGGCCAGATATAATAATAATATATTACAGTAGTTACAAGAATAATTCATCAAACAAAACTTCAAAATCAGAAAAGCTTTAGATCACTCAAGAATAATGAGATATATCACAATTGGGAAGAATGCAGATGCTGTTGTTGTTTTGTTACTGTTTCTCCTCACCTTGCCATGCCCACACAATATCTTTGAGAGCTGGTCTTATATCCTCTTTCAGTATCTTCTTAAATTCCAATGTATCACCATTGGATTTCTTCATCTCAACTAGATGAAAGGATGGAGTGAACTCAAAAATTTCAGTCTCTATGGACAATGCCCCCTTCCTGCCATCCTTGGATTTCTCCAATTTCAATAACCCTCCATCCTTGTTTACTTTCAGCCTCAGCTGCTGGGCAATGTCCTCCAGCTTAGATATAATTGATGAGGCAGACTGCACAGATGTGAACTGTGCTTCTTTCTTTGTACCTTTTCCCATAAACAAACCAGACAAATCAAATCCACTTGAAAGAGAGATGATATCAAAAGCATTCAAATTGGTAGGTCTGGCCAACTCTTGCTTTGCCTCAGTATTATGATCACTGCTGTCACAATTATCAAATGCTGCATCAACATCCACCAAAGCCGGTTTTTCGACTTCTGTTATAGTTGTAATGGATTTGGAGCTTAACCCTTTTCTAAACCAAGGACTTTCCATTATGTTTGAAATGAGAATCCTTTTATTTGGGTTGGGGTTGAGGATTCTTGACAGAAGCTTGCGCACTTCAACTGAAAACCAATTGGGGCATTTATACTCGGCTTTGCCTATTTTCTTGTACATTTGTATAAGATTTGTATCATGGAATGGCAGGCAACCAGCCAATAGTACATATAAGATCACCCCGCAAGACCAAATGTCAGCTTTTTCGCCATCATAGGCTTTTCTACCTACAACTTCAGGAGCTACATAGGCAGGAGTTCCACAAGTTGTGTGCAGTAGGCCATCTTGCCTCTTGGATTCAGCAAGGGCACTCAACCCAAAATCTGATATCTTTAATGTTCCATTTTCATCTAACAGCAAGTTCTCCGGCTTCAAATCACGGTGATAAACACCTCTGCTGTGGCAAAAATCAACAGCACTGATCAGCTGCTGAAAATACATCCTTGCCATGTCCTCCTTGAGCCTTCCTTTTGATACCTTGTGAAAAAGCTCACCACCTTTGACATATTCCAAAACAAAGTAGATCTTGGTTTTGGTAGCCATGACCTCATAAAGCTGCACTATGTTTGGGTGTTTTACCAATCTCATAACAGATATCTCTCTTTTAGTTTGATCAGTTAGGCCAACTTTCGTAACCTTCTCCTTGTTAATTACCTTAATGGCTACATTCTGGCCAGTTTGGAGGTGCCTTGCATGATAAACCTTAGCAAAGTTTCCTTGGCCTAACAATCTCCCAATCTCATACTTTTGCATCAACACCTTACCCTTATTTTCCATTCCAAATCTTTTAACTCTAATTAATACACAACAACAATACTAATAATAATGTTCTATATGTCCTGCTACTATGAGAAATTTTACTCACAGGGCAAGAGTCTTCAGCGCCATTCAAATCAACAGAGACTCTCTTTGTGGCTTCAATATGCAATATTTGGACCCTGATCTCAGTTTCACTGTGTGTTTAGGATCCAACCTCATCGAGAATGTACAAGGGCAGGCCAGAGTGAAATCTATTTCAAAGTGTTTGATGAAAGAAAAGCACATCTTTTTGCATTCCTCTGTGGCTGTATTTTGCACTGCATGAGAAAAAGGAAGAACCCAGCAGGAAAATGATGAAGGTTTCCCAAAAGAAAGTACCAGAACAATCGTTATGACAATAAACACACACACACACACACACACACACATATATATATATATGCTAATGCTTATCATTCTGAGACTAACAAGCAATAAAAAGGAAGTTCCACATTCTATCATTTTTTTTTAATGAAAACTTTGTCATCTAATTCATCAACCACCTTCTTGCCACTCTGAGAAATTCAGATACACCATACTGACCAGAGGGATATATCAAAACTAAGGTAATAGTTACTTTGCCTATATAGAATTCAATGCAAGTTCCTCAAGATCATCAAAATTAAGCAATCAAACAAAGCAAATCTTAAAATTAAATTGCTGATCATCAAACAAATTCTCCTACGGATCATCGAAATCCATATACGCAATCTGTATTCGGCCAGGCACAACAAATCAATGTATATGAAAACAGAATGAAGAGCTCGAGTCAAGAAATAAACCTCTTAATTAGCTTTTTTCAGAACGGAGAAGATGCTGATACAAAACTGAGGAAAGTTTCCAAGCCACAACCAAAGAAAGAGAGAAAGGAAGAAAACTAAGAAACGCAAATCCATACACAAGTCATCTCTATAATTCCAAGAATATGGGACAACGTTAATGTTTGCGTATCGTGACACATATTCTTGGTAAAGTTAAAGCAGTCAAATATACTGAAAGACAAAAGAGCAAACAGCTATGGCAAAAAATCCAAAGGAAGAAAAGGAAAGTGAAGAGGTTACCTTTGAGGAGAAGACACAAAGCCTCCACAGGATCTGAACGTTGGAAGGAAAGAGAAAGATAGAAATGAGAGGATACAAAAAGCAATGTGTTACAAACGTTATGGCCGTTTGTATATTCCACTAAATTCGTATTGAAGTTGTTAAGGAAGGTCGGTCTATCTACCTCTCACCATGCCTTGTTGTTGTACTACCTTAGTTAGAACTCGGAAACCAACCAAATTGTGACAGCTCGCTCGAGGCCCCCGCCGGTTGGTTTACAGTTTGTCTACTCATTTTAAATAAAATTGTATTTTATTTTACAAGGCTGATAATTAAACTAATTTGCAATTAAATGGTCTTAATCATCATTCTAGAACGTATTTTACTCTTGTATGTCTGTTCCTTATAGTCATAGGCTTTATTGCTGGGAAGGGGACCATAGATGAATTGGACTAATCAATCAGACGAGACGTTGCATTGTCTTAATCTCGATGATTAGTGACGGTGGGATTCGGTGTTTGTAATGTTCATGCTTAATTAGGTTTAATGATTGATCGTATTCTCGTGGACCAACCTAGCTAGCAAGAAAGGAAAAAAAATAAATAAGAGGCATGCATGCTTCATGCTCTCCATGCCCCATGGTATAAAATCTTTGACAAATTTCAGATGTTGCACGTTTCAGTGGCTTATTAGTTCTTAGATGGCTTTGAAAATAACCAAACACCAACCTACCAAAAAGAAGAAAAGGAAGATTTTGACAAGGTTTTATTAAGCAGAATAATTTGGACTCAATCAAGCTGCTAAAAATGTACCTTAACAACAAAAAGGATTACATTAACTTATTCACCAAGAAAAGAAGGCTCCTAAAAAATTAGCCGGTGCTGATTATTGAAAACTTATTATATAATAGAGATGCACCAACAAGTTCATCATTAGCTGGGGCAAGCTTGGTAGGTGAACAACCGAGCTCATATATACGTGATCTTGAAGCACATGTCAGAGACTATATAATTAAATCTTCTTCACCCAGAATCCCGGAAATAAGTGCTTGCATACATTCGTTGAAAATGCAGTGCAAGATTTCATACACTAATTAGCTGTTAAATCCATAAACAAACGCCACTTGTGTCCCTGCTTAAGGAGTTGCACAGAAAGGCTTTGCATTTCTAAATAGCCTCAATAGAAAAGGAAGGCCTCAACAAATTACAAAGACCAGTATAATTAATTTAACAAGGGATAAAATTGGAACAAAAAGTTACAAAGAAAGGAGCTCAATGAACTAAGCAGAAATTCATTCAATCTAAATAAAATTTTTAGTATCTGATTCCTTTAGCAACCTCAAAGAAATGAGCAACATTCTCCTCAGGTGTACCTACTACAATGCCATGGCCAAGATTCAAAATATGTCTCCCTCTACCAGCTTTCGTCACCGTATCATTTATTCTGCTGGTGATGAACTCCTTTGAACCAAAAAGAACACCAGGATCCACATTACCTTGAACTGCTATATTTGGTCCCAGTCGTCGTCTACCTTCAGCCATATCAACAGTCCAGTCCAAGCTAACTACATCAACACCCGTCAAAGCCAGCCTCTCAAGCAGACCCCCAGATCCACTTGCATAAAGGATTAAAGGGAGATCTGGATGGGTCTCTTTCACACCATCCACAATTTGCTTCAAGTATGGGAGACTGAATTCCTCAAAATCAACAGGGCTGAGCTCTGTGGCCCATGAGTCAAAAATCTGAACAGCTTGAGCTCCACTATCAGCTTGGTATCGAATATACTTTGTCATCGAAGTTGTAAATTTCTGAAGTAATGCATGGAGGACCTGAGGAAAGAACCATAGCTCAACAAAGTTGGTCAACAGGCAGAAAAGAGGGGAGAAGACATTAAAAAAGAAAACAAAGGAGATTTTTTGTGGATTAGAAAATGGATATTCACTCTTTCGTTAACAATGCAACACTCCCAAAAAACATCAAAAGTACTGGTGAATGTTGCAAGATGGGTTCGAAACCAAAAACTTACTCACAAAGGGAGTACCCTAGGAGCTACTAACCAAGTTGAAGGTGAAATAATATAAAGGTGTCGGATGATGAGAGTCAATTATCATTAGTAGAACTATAGTAAAGCAAATTTAGGAAGATGGATGCTAAAGGACCTTACTTATTGGCTCTCTCACAATGCATGTAACCACGATGATAATAAAAAATAAAAAATTAGAAGATAAAAGAGCCAAAAAAAAGTAAAAAGGGGAACGACTTGCATCTAAGTTTCAGGCCTTCAGTCACACCAAAAAATAACCCAAATAGGAAATGCTGTAATCGGGCTCAATATGCCCCAGTAGGTAGTCAGTGGTGTATCACCAAGGAAGAGCACTAAAGCACATTTGTATCCAAGCTTACAGACCTCAAGTTACGTAAAACTAGATATGAGTAGCACTAGAATTACCTTCGGTTGAGAGAAGGCTAATCTCTTAATCTTCGTGAAGTGTTTTGATGAACCACCTTCCACCACATACGATGCAAGGGTAAAAGGAGCCCCAACAAAACCTAGCACTGCTGCCTGATTATCTACCTGGAAAGGTAAAGATATGGGTGAGGATAACAAAGGTTATAATGCTGGCTGTAGCAGAGAACACCTTTTCAAATTTCAAGAAATAAAATGAGTAACTTTATAAAGCTTCAAAATGTAAATTACATAATTAACTAAAAATGAGATTTAAAACATCCAGTTAGACGTGTGAAACAAGAGAAGGTTATTAGTAACTGTCTATGTAAAAAAACAAAACAAATCATGTTCTTTACTTCAAAGTCTCCAAGGTAGCAATTAGGACAGATTATCTCTGGACAAAAAGACTCTGGTCTCTCTTCCAAATACCATGTGAGATTTTTTTTTTTTCCTTTGATCCTTCTCATCAGAAAAATTATTGACACCATATCAGCAAAGATGCTAAATTTAGTGATTTATACATATAATTTGCTCTAGTTCACAGTGAAATCACGAAGATATTAAAAGTTCGAAAATCAATAAGGAGGCATAGAGTTAGACCTCTTTTCGCAAGATTGTCAATGCTTCCCCAACATATGGAACTGACTCTTGAGGAACAAATTCTCTTACTTGATCAACATCCTCAGCTGTATGCAGAGGATCAAATATTACAGGACCCCTGCCTTTTACAATGTCAAATGGTATATTCATCCCGGAGAGAGGAGTAAGAATGTCAGAGAATAAAATGACCTGTCACAAACATGAGAGACCTGTAAGAAAAAGAAATAGGTAACAAAACTACAATATGTAAGTGGCTAAACTGGAAAACCACCAACGATGAATCCCAGAGTGGCATCTTACTCCGTCAGGCTTGAAAACCTTCCAGGGCTGTAGAGAAATTTCGACAATAAGGTCAACGTTTTCAGATCTTTCTCGAAACGACGGATACCTCTCGCAGAGAGTTTGATAACTCTGTCATATACAAAATGCTGAAATAAGTTAGTGAACGTATCTAAGCAGAAGAGAAGTAGCCACTCCAGTCTTAGGCCTTACAAGAGCTAAGAAATAATTAACAGAGAATAAGATAGCAAGATATATAAATAATGAACCTGCCTTCATGTACCTCCCTGCTTGTCTCATGAGCCAAACTGGGGGCCTTTCAACATCGTCCCCACGAACCGCATTGAGCAAAAGCGGCTCAGCAACAGAGGTAACTTTGGGTTCTGCCACACTCCCTGAATCAAATACACATGAATTACAATGTGAAAGACAAAATGAGTATCTGGGAGAGACATTGATACAAGAGGGCAAAATTCAAACTTGGCAAGCATACGATTGTGTGCTAAATAAAAGAATCTAAATTGGAACAGACCCAACATCAATTAGACCATTTCCTACAAAACCCAGGTCGTAGCTTTCAAATTAAGAATGGAAACGACGCCGTGTTATTGAATTACCTCCGAGTGCACAGAGGAGCTTAGGCTTGGAGGCGCATCTGGATCTTCGTGTAAAGGAAGGCGAGGAGGGAACAGAGAAGGAAGCTATGGAGCCGTAGCTGTGAATGCAGGACATGTTTGGATGCGAGGATAATTAATTGGTCTCTCTCTAACTCCAAGCTCTTCGCATATCTCTCTCTCTCTTCTCAGCGAAGATGGAAAAGGGAGAATAAGTCTGTCAGAGGAGGATGACAATAACGATAAGGGGATTTCCACACCGGTGCTGATTTTTGCCATGTCACCACCACTCCAACAGTCAACGGTAACGAAAATGAAGCGCTTCAACGACTGTCGTTTATTCATCCTATCACGACGTGTCGTTGCTTACAAATAATAATTCAAACAAATTTAATCCATTGAAAATTGAGGCCCCCAGCCTTATCCAATATCAACGAACGAAATTTTGAGGCCAATCCTACCTCATAGAAATTTTGCTCTTTGTATTTTGAAAGCGAAAGCAGATTGAAACTTGTGTTTCCAATAATCAAATTCACTTCCCAACTATAAATTATAACAATCGGCCATTGATTATTTATTGGAGTTCTAAGATTTATATACTGAGACGTCAATGGAAGCGTTTTTTTTAATTTAATTTTTGAGTGTATAACATCAGAAATGAGCTTTTCACTATAATAACTTTGTATATCAAAGACGAAAAAAAGAAGAAAAAAAAATGAGATCAGGTACAAACCAAGAAAAAAGAAAGGAAAAAGCAGATGATCGGCTGCTAGATTACAAGATGGGGGAGAGAATTTGAAGAAGAGAAAAAAGAATTCAGAAAATAGTATCTATTGTTAGCTTCCTCTTTGGTGGAGATTTTTCTATAACCTGCTTTTGCAAGTCCATGAATGTAGAACCCTTGTTAGCAAATAGTCTTCGGAGATTGATCACTGAAAGTTCATTAAAACTAGCAACTGCAAGATCCGCCTGCACCAGGTCATACCTGCGTGTGCCACCATCAATCTCGATCAGGATATACAGTACAACATGTTCGTACATAGTTAAGGAGTATTTCAATGTATGTGTATTTGAATGTGTATCCGTAGGTGTATTCTATATTCATGGGACACCTAAACAGTGCTATCAAGGGTGAAGAGGATGAGAATACATACGCAGGGTGGGCGCCGATCAATGCCACTGCCATCATTGTACAGTTGTGGGCAGCAGTTATACCTCTAGGCTCATCCTCAAACACTACACACTTCGATGGTTTTCGGTCCAGCTGCAAGTGGTATAATAGATTGGGTTAGAGAATGATCCCAAGAAAATTAATTGTATTATCGTATACAATAACATGTGAAGATACAGACTGATTCCAGACACACAGTCTGACTTAACTGGAGAGCTGACCTTTATGGTGACACTAGAAGTACATATTTATACACTAGTAATAGTAAGTTGCAGGAAATACCTTCATAGCTGCAGAAAGAAACCTATGAGCTATTGAATCCATTCCATCTTCCTCTGTCACAATTGCCTGTAACCCACAATGCCGACAATCAGGTATGGTGCGTGATGTAAGTGGAATTAACAGAAATCCATCACCATGGGTTTATCATTCACATCTCAATGGGAAATTACAAATCACAAGTTCCGCTGGGGTTTGGTTATAAAGCACTAAACTCTGTTGTAATTACCATTGGAAAGTTTTGTGTAATTCAAAAGTACACCAACCTGGAAATACTTCTTGAGTTCCATTCGTTCTAGGGCTTCTGTCATGTTTATCCGATCAAGACTTGAAACTACAGCACAAGGGATACGAGCTGTGGATACAGCATCTAGCCATTCCTTGAGCCCCTCCACAGGTTTACTAAGCTGGAAAAGGAAAAAAGTACATAATATCAGTAGTGGCGTGTAAGAGACAAACCTTAAATAAATTATAAACAGCTTAACACTCACCCTGAGAAGATTATCATAATATAGCTGTGAAAACCTTAATGCCAATCTATCTAGTTCTCCTTCTGCTTCATCCCAGAGTAAAAGCTGAAAGTTTTTGGAGACTTATGAGATGCATCCGATACGAGTATCCAGTGTGATGGTTTATAGGAAATAAACCATAAATTTTACTAGACTAGAAATAGAAAAATGCAAACAACCACCACAAGTTATGGATAAAGAAAGTTGAATTGCAGGAACAGTATTTAATCCCAAAATGCATTAATTGGTCATGATTAAAAATAATTATTTCTTTTCTTCATGAGTTATGAAGAATAAGATCATAAAAGATGCAACAATGCATCAGAGAAAAAGAATTCAAAGAGATAAATTATTGACATAATAGCTAGACTACTCAACAGAGATACCTCAGGAGCAAGACATTCACATGGAATGTCTTAATCATATGGTTCCTGATCAATATTGCTTTTGCCAAGGATCATAACCTTCTCAAAGATGGAGCTACACTTCTTTAAATCTTGCCAAATTTAACATAATTTACTGGGAACCAAAACTTGCAGTCTAATGCTCCATTTTGTTTGTACAGAATTGCTTTATTAAAAGCAGCTCTAAAACCCCATCGTCCCTTAAGTTCTCTATACTCAATAATTTTTTCTCTAGACAATCAGAGTTTGTAGAGATGTTACTGTCTAATAAGAGATGCATTTACTTGTCAAAACACTGCAACTTATCTGACTATTTAGATAACCACAAATCCTTAAATGAACACTAATCCCAAACCTTATGCAACACATGATCAGCACCTGCATAAAGCATTCGTCCTTGCACATCTGCATCTTCAGGAATTTCCTTTCCTGACAAAGAATAAAAGATTTAGGAACAAAAGCAAGTATATAATCAGAAACAACTGCTAATGAAACCAAAGACAGTCAGGATAATCTCGAATATCTGAGCCTCCGGACTTCCCAAAAAGAAGCAAAAAAAAGAGTTTTAGAAGCACACAAAACAGATGGAAAACCAGTTCATCATTTTATCCAACATTAAGAATGCACTGAAAGGCCTGCCATGAGCTATAAAAGGGAAGAAATGGCTGCATACCCTCTTCTGAGGCAAGTTGCTTCCAAGAATTTAATTTCAATGTTCGAGTATCAGCCTGAAACACATAATATACACATTTAATAATTGCACATTTAAATCTTTTTCTTGATGATTTTGGCATATCATTTATAACCACCAAAACTTCAAAACATATAGCTAATGAGTGTTTTTTTATTTATTTCAAAGTATAGCTAATGAGTGTTACAAAAACTTACCACAACATTGTCAAAAGAGAAAATAAGACCATACGCTTCATCAGGTTTCATGGCATATCGTATACGTTGAAGAAAACCTTCTTGGAGTCTGTCGTTCAAAAAATCCTACTCAAAATAAGAATTAACACTAGTAAGTTCTTGCCTATGCTCTAAGAGAGCCAGAAAGTATAACGAGTAAATAAATTTGACAGAACATCATAAAAAACAATTTGGCTGATATACATATACCCCCATATCCTTACCACATCAACCTTGAGAGGCCCATCTGGTCTAAAAGTCTCAAAACCTTCTCCATATTCAGCTCCAATTGCCTGAAACGCCAAAAAAGAGAAGGAAAAACATTAAGCTCATCAAAATCACCTACCTTTTCTTTTCTTTTTCTTTTTCTCAAGAACAAAAACAAAACCCAGAAACTCTGGTTCAACAATATTTTCCATACACACACAAACAAAAAGAAGCAAACTTACAATTAAAAACCGAAACTTTTCAAGCTCCGCTTTCACAACGTACACAAATACCCAATAAATAAAGAAAACATTAGAAGGGGAACAATCAGTACCTCTTGCATGAAAAGCTTGTTGGGTGTGACGGAAAACCCATTAACAGAGCCGTTTTCGTTGAACCCACAAGCACTCCTTACCACCCGGGTATGCTTAGACAGGTTCAAACGCTTCAGTGTCTGTGAATTAGAAGCAATCAACAGCCAAATTAAAACACGAAAATTACAGAAGATAGAGAAAGGCATACCAAGAATCTGAGCTTGGAAGGGAACGAAGAGTGTGGATGAAGAGATGGGGATCGCCCGAGAAGAAGCAAAGACGAGCTTCTGAAATTGCTGCAAGCACAGTCCATCGGAGATGAATACAGAGCCTCCAAGCCCTGAGAGAGAAGTTGCTTTACTTCGAATTTGTTTATTTTATTTTTAATATATAATTATTTTCTCTTCTTCTTCTTTTTTGGAGTAAAATTTTGTAAAAATCTTTTGTTGATGGGATGCTCGTTTGAGATTGCTATGAAGTCCACGTGACCGTACGTTACCTTTCTCAGAGCAAATCACGTGCTATCAGTATCAGAGAGACAGAGGTCATATTTGTTTTTTCTTCCTAATGTTTTTTTTTTTTCAGATAAGTGACTGCCCTCATCTTATTTTATAATAAATATTTCTTATTTATTTCGCACCAAAAGAGAATATCTCCTTCAACATTTTTTTTTGTTTTCTTCTCTTTTGTCCTTGATTTTTCAAAGTTTTTCTCTGGTATGAATTATTTAACTGTGCCTCTATCTGTGCAAAATTGCTAAAATGTGACCAAACTATGCATTTGTCTTGACTTTCAAATCAGTAGTCTTAGGTTTGAAACTTTGCGGCATCAGTGTGTGAAAAAAACCACCTTCCCCTTTCTAACTTCGACAACAACAAAAAGTAAAAAAAAAAAGAAAAAAGAAAATGGAAGTACTTGGAATGAAATTGTAGTAACTTATTGAAAATATTAGGATGTTTATAGAATTCCAACATTTTTCATGAGTTATATAAACCTCACAATACTATAGATGAAAGAGTTTTGGAAAAAAGGAACGAATTTTAAAGCATTTTCCAAAGTATAAAAGAGAGTTGGATTTAATGCATGATGCCCTTTTGGGTGAGTGAGGTTAAACATTTACCATATTTCCAAGTAGGAGAAGAGTAGGAGGCCTATGATCAAGAAGGCTTGGGAATTGAGTTAGTTGGAAATTAGGTCAATCATACATCTAATTTAACCACCTTTTTCCCTTATATAATTATGTTACACATGATTTGTAATTAGCAAATAATGGTAATTAGCATACACATGAAACCAGTAGCAAATAATGGTAATTAGCAAATTAACATGTACTTAATACAATCATAGCCGATGGGTTTGACAGAAAGACTTGAAGCTCTTTTTTCTGGAAGTGCTAGGTGAGACATTTTCCAAAGGATAATACAAACAAAATATCTACTTCTCATGTATCTCAATCTCACATCAAAAAGTGAAACTTTTTCAACCCTTTTTGTCAGAATCCGTTACTACTACTATACAATAGCCAAAATGACTTGCCTTTGAGAAAACAGGTAATGGGAAAATAATCTCAGGATGTAGATTTTCCACCATTGCCAATTGGATGCTGGCATCAGCCCAAAATGATCAGCAAAAGAAAAAGAAACCTTAAGGCGATTTCTCAAACTTCAGAGTCTTCAAAAATCGTACTCCATTTGCCTGAGGGAAACTCATACCCTATTGGCCTGTATCGTGAGGGGATGAAGTTTAGGGAATTAGCAGGACAATGCAGACTAAGGAAAGAGAGGAATGCAATTTTAGACACAAGCGTACCGAGCGTAGGTCTGCCAGGATCCAGCTCTACCATAGTTGTCCCAAAGCTCATCAGTGCCATCAGAATTCTCATAGTCTCCATAAAACTGTGATTGAACCACATTATATAAACAAACACAAGTTCATGAGCAGACGGGTAGGAAACAATGGGATCCAGAACCAGAGAGATAGTTACAAAACCAACCATTAAACCACAATGTATTCTAAGCCTTAAAGCGAACATACCTCACCAGCCTTCCCATTGTTCTCGGCCATCGCTGAATCTGCCTCATCATCTACCTGCAACCAATGACCTTCTCATTAATTGAATTACTGGAGGAGACTAGGATTAATTATAATGTCATTAATCATTCTGGAGTATATGGGAAAAAGCAGACTAGGATTTATACACTATAGAGAGCAGAGGATCTAGATTTTTTTAATATCAAATTGACTACATGGATATGCAAATATAAGAGGAGGAAAGTCACACTCACAGAATACGCTACTAGAAAAGAGAAGAAAGCTTTTCTTTCTTATTGCTACCTTGATATCATTAGTTCAGAACAAAAGCTTAAGCATATGCATTTATGCATGCTATCAACAAAATACATGACAGTAGATTAACAGGTATAAAACATAATGGTCATCATGAACCACAATTGAAATTGGAAACGTTATGAGCACCAAAGGGCATCACAAATGAGCAATTACAGATCATAAAAACAATGGAATTGAAGAAAGAACAAGGAAATTTTATCGCCTTGGGATTGATGGAGAAACAGTTGGAAACTTTTTTTCCAACTTTAACTTTACCTTTAGCTTATCATCTGCTTCTTCAAGCAAAGCTTTCTCATAAGCCTTGTCAACCTTTTCAGCTTCAGCAACATATGGCTGCCTCTCCTACCAAAGCAAAAAGTCCTAAAGAAATGTGATAAAAATTCATGGATTCGAAAATTTAACAACTGGGTAGGGCTTATAAAGATAATAGATTCACTCTTTACCTTCTCGGACATGTTCTTCCATGCCTCAAACCCTTCTCGGTTAATGGCAACCCAATTTCCAGCCTTGCTGGTCTTGGTAAACTCTTTCCTGATAAACCCACAGAATTAAATTCAACTTAGACTAAGAACAAGTAATAGAAGCAATAAAGTAAGTAACTTTATATCTAAAAACTTACATGAAGAAATGAAAAGGTGACATGACTATGAGTTGGTCATAAAAGCTCTGTTTCTGAACATCTAGGCATACTCCCTTGAACCTCTTCACCTTCGGATTGAGATCACACTCGTGCATGCCAGCCAAAGCAATGGGCACCGAAGCCCCACAGGTGTTGCTACAAACATATAAGAAGAAGCCCAAAATGTTATCCAAATTTAGAAGAGAATTAAATTAAACCCAAAAAAGAATGGGAAAAAAAAGAAGAGAGAGAGAGAACATAATGGATTATATGCCATACCACTTTTGAAAAGCACTTCCATCTGCAGCACGGGGGATTCCATGAACCCTCTTCCGGGTCCTTCTCAGATTCGCCATTGAAGCACCACTATGCTCTGCAGCTCTGCAACTTCTTTTTTTCAACTATTTTTTCAGGGAAGATTATAGGACTTCCGTAAATTAGTGGAAGACGAGCAGACAGGCGCACTTCCAGTTTTCGATTTACAGCTCATCTAAGATACGCTGCTGGTTAAGTGCGCATACACAATGTATTTTGTGGGCCAACCCACTTGTAATTTCTCGCCACTATGCCGACGTGGTCTGGTCCGTACGGCACAAGCCGTGCACGGTAGCTTAGTACAACTTGGGTTGCTAACTTGCACGCACACGTTTTGGGCGGGACAGGACGTTGCTGTAAAATTGAAAAGGGCACGCGAAAAGTAGAGTAAAAAGTGAAAAACAAAAACCGAAATTTCCCGCGGTAAACCCGAATTCGCGCAAAAGTGGAAATGGCAGCATAGCGCGCAACGATTTTTTAATGAGAATAGTTAGTGACTAGTGAAAGCACAAAGCTTTTTTTAAATTTAAGAACCCTATTTGGCTACATATATACTTGAGGGATTCATTAAAATATAACGAAAATTATGCATACGTATCACATTGTAATTTATGTTTAAAATGCTCTTCATATATAAGGAGTCAAATATGTCTTAAGAGATATGTTACGAATGTGTTGTCTACTTTATATTCATACTCTAAAATAATTACACATGTTGTACGGTACGAGATAATTATACAAGTTAAAAAGACGAAATAAACCCTCTATATTAATTTAGAATGGTAACATGGGTTTGAGCCAAGGAAACTATTTAACAATGTCACAATGTTTGGTCATTTGTGAATGATAGAGGGCACACCTCCAATCCAATCTGATCATATCAGATGAAATGATTTGTGGGAAGCTACAGTAGCTATAACTACAAGCCTACTACCCATAAGTGAATGATTAAGTAGAAGCTAAAGATTGAAGAGATAATAGCAATTCTCCATGTGGGCCTTAAGTACAAGATAAGAAATATAATTGCAGCTGCTCAAACCACAAACATTACTCTGATCTTAGTAAAATTTTCATTCCAAATCCATCTCATAATTAAAGTAACAAATCCCAACCCTCACTGCATAGTACAGATTAATAAATCACCTATACAGACAGACAGACATTAAAACCACACCTTCAATACACTAACATAAGCAGAAGCATAACTAAATAAACAAGGAAACTGAATTTGAAACTGTTGGTGCTCAAGGAGTTGCTGTTATTCAATCTAATGTGTCACATTGCGTTCAAAGTTTGCGTCTTTTTCTTACTTGGCTTGGACAGGGGAAGTGATATGTGGATGAACCCGAACTTCTTCCTCTGTGTCAAAAACGGCTTTTGATCATTTCCATCTTTCTCAACTTTTGCAGGAAATGTTAAATCCCCCCTCAGAGCATGAAGCATTTCGCTCAAAGCCACTCGGTGCATTTCGGGGTGGCCACGGTCCATTTCCTTTTTCTCCACAAAATCTTCAGGCAGAACTTGCTTCCTGCTAAGAACATCTCGCATTGAAACTGTTGACCTTAGATGAGGCTTTGGACCCTCATTTACTATGACTGACTTGTTCATCTCATTCATCGGAGAGTTCCGATTATAATCTGGTGATTGAAAATTGTTGAGGTTGGTGGTGTTATAAGCAGCAGCCTGTTCCTTGTGGTCACGCTCAGGTCCCCAGCTCTGGAGAGCCTCTTGAGCAGCGAGTTGCTTTCTATTTGCAATTTCCACTTTGTTTAGAGCCTCCTCCAAGAATTGTTTACTGTGTTTAACTTCTTCTGTTGCTTCTTTCAGCTTCCTTAGGATGGCCAGTTTAGAAGTATGAGCTTCATCAATTTGGCGCATGGCATCTACTAGCTTCTTCTTGAACCAGCCCTCAGCTTCTTGAGCTTTCAAGTTTAGAGGAGATTTCATTTGAGAACTAACACTCATTTTCTCAGGCTCTGGAAGGACATACCCTGATGAGCCCCCAGAGCTTGTTAGAGATTTGATTTCAGCAAGAGCAACAGCTTCTGCTGCCCTTGCTGCTTCTTCCATCCTTTTAGCTGCAACCCACCTCATTTCAGCAGTCTTCATAATGCTCTTGGCTTGTTCATTCCTTGACATTGCCCCTGATGCTTCAAAGTTCGCAGCTTCTGCCATTCTCTTAAATTGCATATGCTCCCTTGAAACACATGCTGAATTCTCAAAGCTAATTTTAGCATTGGTTTCTGCCTCATCAGCCATCTGTGTCTTCACTTTTATGTTCTTCATCTCCTCCTCCAGCGACGACACCCCTGCAAACTGCGAAGTCAGCTTCTCGCGGGTCTTTTCAAGCAAGTTCTTCTCGTTCTGCATTTTCTTATTCAAAGTTTCAACAGAAGATTGAATCACCCCAAGATCATTGATGGTTTTACCAAGGTTCAGTTTTGCTTGTTTCAACTCCGTCAAGATCAGATCAGGAGAAGTGTGGTAGGGACTTGAATTCCCCATCATGTGCTCATGGTTGCTGGCAAGATTTATATGATTGTCCTTGTTCATTTCCTTGATAGCAGGGGATGATGAAAATTGTTCTTCTGAATGAAAATCCGGTGGCGAGACTACCGTCAAGCATTTCAAGGCTTCTTTCTGCAGCTGCCGCTTTAGCTCTTCGACAATCCTTTTAGTTGTTGCCAGTTCTTCTAGCACATCAAGTGTCTCTAGCTCTTTCACAATCAGATCCTTCTCCAACTCTGCTGCCTGCTCCTCCACCTTCTTCAAGTCAAACTCTTCAACCCCATTCTGCTTAATAATTCAAGAACTAAACATAAACAATCGAGTAGCAGAAATATCACAATTAAATTCGACATAAAGAAATGTTTTCACAATATACACATCTCATGGTTTATCCATAATAACACGTCTACTAAGAACCTGCTCCACAAGTTGCAAAAATGCATATATATCGAGTTCGAACCCCCTCCCCGTACATTTACGTGACATTACGATTGCTTAGAATATCAAATTTGTTGCATAAAATTTACTGGTAACTACTATGCATAATTCCCAAGCCAAATTCTTATGTGGCCAAATATTAAACTAGCTTTTGATTTTTCACTCACAACGAAACAAAATTGGTCAAAGAGTCAGATTTTAACCCCACATAACAAGATAGTACTAGTATTTGAATTTCACCATGCTTACATAGTTTTCTCCGAGTTTGTAGAATGGTATCCAAGACCCGCGGCCACCAAAACGGGTCACAGCCTCTTCGACAGACCCGAAAGGCGGGGAAGTATCAATCTCCGCCCTCAAGCCCACCCTCCTTATCCCCGGCGGACTCGGGGACATAGAAGCTCCGTGCCCATGACCCGAACCCGTGCTAAAACGGAAGTCCGACCCGGTCTCGGACCTCATTTCCTTGATGCCAGGTGTCCCAGGAAACGGTTCGGCGGCCATTAAGCAAAAATCTTTCACGACAAGAAAAAGAAGAAGAAGCCTCTGAAATGGAGGTTTGGGACGAACCCATCATGGAAAAACCAAACATCCTTCGTCTGGTTTTATGTGGTACCGAGGATGATGGGAGTGTAATGATGATGCTGCTGGTGGGGGACCGAGTCGTGACTCGGTCGGTACAGCCGGGTCCACTCGGCGAGCAAAGGGCGCAGTGGAAAGAAAAGCGCTTTTTGGTTTTGGTTTTCAGTGCGGGTGGAGGAACTGGAGATATGGGGGTTCTCGTACATGACGTGGCGGAGCGGGAATGGCGGGAGGGAAAGTCAGGTGATTGTCTTTTGACTTTTTATGTGTTTCAGCCAATGAGGGCTCGGTACTACAGTTGATCCGTGAGTGCGAGGTAGGGGATCTGTTGGTTGACTAGTCTCTTCTGTGCTTTGATTCTGAGCGTGAATTGCGGTCTTTGGGAAAGTCATTGAGTCCCAGTTGCGGTTATGATTGACTTTTTAAAGGCCATGTTTGGTTGGTAAACTTTATGCGATTTTGTTTCACTTTTTTTTATTATGATTTTTGTAAATTAGATCAAAGTGATTTTATTTTTTTTGCTTTTTGTTGTAAAGTAAAAGTGATTAAAGTGAACAAAAATCACTTATCCACGCCTTCACTTTTTTTTTTTCTTCCAAATTTAAAGAAGGATACAGCACATGGCACATTATCATAACAATCATGTCTTGTAATATTTTATAAAAATATAAAGTAAATTATTTTATGCATGGTAAACCCTAAAAACAAGTTGTTTGGACTTAAGGCCCACATTAGATTGGTTTGCTACATTATAAGCCCATAGAAATAAGGGCCTATTCAAATCATAAGCCCATGTCAATAGGTTGGACAGCTGCAAATTATATCAATAGAGCATCTCCAAAGCTCTCTCAACAAAGGGGAGTTTCTTAACTGAAATTGTAAAGATGTGTGTTGAAAAAATGATCAACTTCCAAGGGATAAGCAAGATTTGGTAACAAAAATAACCAAGATGCTTGAAGTTGGAGATTCCAACTAAGAATAGAGAAAACGACTCGTAATGGCTAGCTGTATCAAATATTGTAAGATTATAATTACATACATGCTTCGAACATTAGATCATGGGTGAATTAAAAAGTTAAACTGAAAAAACCCACAGCTCAAAAGCGACTGGCTAAATAAGTAGCTTTGTAATAAATTTAGTGAGCATTTAGCTGAAAGAATGAGGAATTCCCTTAGAAGACCAAAAGAAGTGATAAACATCTACGTAAGTCAACAACCACACAATATCATCAAACACATGCAAACGTCTAATATCATCATAACACCACTCTAGATGGCACATCAACAAATTTCTTTTTTTTCTTTTTTAATAATAAAATGCGGTTGGTGTACTGTTACTCTATTAATTATGATTCTATCTCTTGGGCACCTATTTCGCGTCCTGCCTGTCCACGCCTCCTTTTCTATTTATTTGCACTACTAAAAATAGGTGAATAGGCGTTGGGTATTGGTGTCCATAAAAGGGCGTCAATAGTGTCAACAGAAATCCTTGACATATTTCTATGAGTCGTATTTCTATTACATGCATATTTTCTTTTCACATGCATGGCTTGTTTTGGACTACTTATTAACTAGCGTTTATTTGAGAGTGTGTTTGGAAGGAGTAAAAGCATTTTTTAGCAACTAAAAGTAGTTCTGATTGTATTTAGCATAACAATTTAAAAGTGCTTATGGGTGAAAAAAAAAATGCTTTCTAAAAAAGTGCATATTAGGTGCTTCTTTGTAAGTGTTTTTTTAAGAAGCATTTGGATTTTAAACTAAATTTTCGACGTTCTACTGATAAAAGAGCATATGAGCATAAGTGATTCTTAGAAAAGCAATTTCAAATGAACAAACGCTTTCTAATAATCAAAAGCACTTTGACATTGATCAACATAAAAACATAAATATGAGTATGTTAAGAATGCAATATGAATACTAAGGGAATTATAACTTAAGATCAGTTACCTTTCTTATATCACCAACAACAAAATGCAATATGTATCGTTCCAATAGGAGCATGACATAGCCTACGAAGTACAAACCATGCAGGGAGAATAAAGCAGTGACAATTATGTTGCATATACAATTATCCCAAAAAGACAAGCACAGAAGGAAAAAGAAGAAGTTGGGGCGTGTGAGATGTGAGATGTATGTTCTAAGCTCCCGTTGATTGCGCATTGCAAACATGGGTTGCTTGCCTTGAGTTGAATTTATATTGCTTGGTCCGAGTTGAATTCACAACTGATCACAAACAAAACGTTAAATCCTACTACGTACACATAATAAACCTATTAATGATTAACTGCCCAAGAACCATGCGACCAGACCAGGTCTCCCAACCCCTCCCCTAGGGAGAGAGAGAGAGAGAGAGAAGCATATCTTCATTTCTTGTTTTTTAGTGGCAAAGGATTGAGACTGGGTTTAAAGCCGTGGGTCATAGGCTCTTAAATTAGGACACACAAACTGGTGGGGGTTGTTGAACATTTTAAATTTCAATTTCAATTAGTGCAGCATTATAATTACTGATTGTATACCCATTACAAAGATGAGCTAGCTAAATTTTGTACCACTTCTTCGTACAAATTTTGATGAATGTTGGGGGACCATGGTCACATGCAGAAAGAAAACATCAATTTAATCCACCAAATGACATTTTCTACCACATTTGTTAGAAGCAGTAGTCATATTTTACTAATGGTTAATTTCTGACATTTATGAGTTGATGTCGCTTAAATATTTATTCTACTCGTATCGAAATAGACACATTATTATATATAACTGTAACACCTCTCGAAATCCCAACGTTCGTAGTTAAATAAGAAAAAATGCAAATGAGCATGTTTTTTGAGCCAGCAGGCAGCAGCACCATCTGGCTTCCTCAGAATTCTTCTGCCATTACAACAACTAATCAGGGACATATGGATCCCGACCAGAACTCATTTATGACACAGCGATCATCTCTAACCAAATCCCACTCTTTCTCAACTGTTTTTGTTATGGCGATTTATTCATGGTCCTGCTCAATCCATGTCACGTCTATCAAACAGCCTCATATTATATATTCTTCCAAAATTTATTTATTACCAAAGGAACGCAGCACCTAAATAATTTATTTCCTTTAAAAAATAAAAAAAATTTAATCCAACCCCCTTTCCAAACCTAGCAGCTAAATAATAATATATTAACTGAGGAAACCCTATCTCACAAATTTTTAAACTCCAATAAGTTGATGTCGTATTGAGACAGAATTCCGGAAACCAGCATTTATTGTTTCTGAACATTTTGTATATATATATATATATATATTTTATGATCCTACAAATGTGTGGAGCCTTAAAACCCACATTCAACTGCAAACCAGTCTAGAAGATATTTCTATTTAATTCAAGTAAGCAAATATCAGCTACCTAGCCTAGCTACCCTGCTTCATCTTCGGATCTTGAATTTTCATCAGATCTGCTTTCTGCTAGCCAAGAGAGAGAGAGAGAGAGAGCTCAGCGAGCCAAGGGCAGATTCTAGCAGAGACCCAAAAAGCAGAAGCAGAAGCAGAAGCAGTTGATCATATTTTAATCCAAAATGGTGGTTGACAACACGTACTTGTCCTCGAAGCTTGTCTCCAAGGAAGAAGCCTCCATGGCCAACGCTTCTTGCAGAGTCTACTACGGAGAAGCAGCAGGTGCAATTCCATTCATGTGGGAGTCTCAGCCAGGTACACCCAAGCACCCTTCTTCAGAGTCTTCTCTTCCTCCTCTCACACCCCCACCTTCCTATTCCACCACCCCACCAATCTCTAAACGCACCCACAAAATCACCTCCAAATCAAAGTTTCTGGACACCATTTTTCCCAGGCTGAGGTCTTCGTGGAAAATGCTCAAGCCACCCAATTCCATGTCACCACCATCACTGTCCTCCGCATCCTTATCATCCTCATCATGGTCGTCATCATCATCATCGTCAAACTACTCATCTTCCTCAGCATCAAGTTTGAGAAACAAAGGGGCCCGCAAATTTTATCACAAATATGAGGAAGATTATGATGAGCATGATCATCATGAATCAAAATCTGGATCACCTACTTCAACTTTATGCTTTGGTGGGAAACCCAGAGGTGCAAATATTAATGGGATCCGAGGCTGCTATTCAATGAAGAACATAAGATTTGGGTTCTTGTCCATTGTTAACCATGAATCTGGCCGAGTTACTAATAATAATGCTTAGAATTAATTTTCGGTGTGTGGTCGTGCCAATTAAATCTTTATTTTTCTTTTTTCTTTTGGGTTTTAGAATTAATCTTAATTCTAGTAGTGTAAGTGGGCGTGTAGAGTGATGTTTATCCATTGATGTCGTCGTATCTTATGATGAAATGTATAACGCATGAAATTTAATATTTTTTTATATTTTGGTACATTATTTTACGTTTTACCGTCATATTAATTTGAGTTTGTTGGAGTTATAAATCTCAGTTGTCTATGAAGAGCTGTAGACGACGTAGCTTTACAGTCAATGTCATGTTGATTTGGGGCGGCACTTAATATATAAACTGTTAACATAAAGAAAAAAGAGAGAGTATCTTTTGTTAGTTTGATATGAAGATGAGGTATCACATTTATTTCCACTTTTAGCAGCGCCTGTTTAAGTAGATAGTAGATGCATGCAGGTGCAGTCGTTGGTGCCTTCAATGCAACAGGATGCATACACGTGAGAATAAAGGGGAGCTACAACAACTCAATTACCCTAACAGAGAATAAAGGCCCCACAATTAATGGTCAAAAAAGAAGCTATACCTAACAATGGCATCTTCTCAAAAATAAATAAATAAATAAATAAATTGTGGCATCTTGTGACGAGTATTAGTATGAGCGGTTTAAGTTTAAACACCCAATATCTTAATATTGGAAGATGTTTTAAGTTTGAATCTCCTATCCCGATTGATAATCCATAACTGTGTATGTATTCCGTCTTATAGTTTTCAACCCATCCATCCTCTTTTAGTAATACTTAAATTTAACTTTCTATGTAATTAAAGAAAGAGAGCTAAGGTTAAGGTTTATGTGTATTTTTCGAACCTTGGGAGGGTTGTGAGTAGTATGTTTTTTTTTTTTAATCTTTTTGAAAGAAAACATCTCTACACGTTACACACACATTTGGTTTCGGCCCTAGTTTATCTTTTTGAAATTACACTGAAGCCCAACTCCCGCGGGCCATTATTCTATTTGAGGGAGAGGTTCACCAGTTTTGGGCTTTGTATACTGGGCTTAAATTGAAACCTTTGACCACTGTCCTTTTTGGTCAATTTCTTTTGGTAGGATATACAATTAAGAATGCACGGTGTATAATGTTTTTCTTTTGATAATGTGTGACTATAATTTAGAAGGAATGGTATTCGGATATCTTAATCAAATGGTATGTACATATTATTCTACTTTTGTTTTTACAAGCGGCTGTCTAAACTACAAAAGGAAAGGGGAATTTCTCACACACATACACTATCAAAGTGTCATGGAAGTTCAAACCTGAGATTATTGGCCTGCAAGTCAAGGTCTTATTCTTCTACTTTTTGTACTACTTAAACTTTAATTATCATAATATCGTACGTGCAAGAGTTTTTCATCGCAAATATCATATTCTTCTATCCAATGTTCATAAGAAAAGGGGATCAATGTTGGTTCAAAAAATAAAGTCCAGCATCGACGAGAGAAGTTTAGACATAACAAACGAATTTCCCAAGTAAAAGAAAAACAAGTAGATTAGATATAAGTAGGGAATAAGGATTCGAAGGAGCTGGAGGTGTACAAGTAACAGGTTTTTTCTTTTTTGGCTAGTGGGAGAAGTCTCAGGTTGTCATAAACTTGATAGCTACATTTTACAACCAAAACCAAAGTTCATGCACACAACTTGTAATAGGTTGACCTTATATATATATATAATTGAGAGATTTGAAGCGAATGTTTGTTCGGTATAAAGAGTTGAAAATGAAAATGCAAATGTGTGGTAGGCATAGGTTTTCAGATCAAACACACCATGGCATATATGGTCCATGAAAGCAGCTGGTTTACATATATATATAAATCTATGGTAACTTGGTAAGCTATTGGGTGTTCAAACTGGGTAATTAAGTTCTGGGTTTTGGTGCAGAGAGATGAGAGTGAAAGAGTGAAAGAGTGAGAAAGTAGGTTGGGGATGAGAGAACATCGGGGCGACTTGTCAGCCATAAAATACGGGTCAAACAAGAGTAAGATGGTGCCATATTCCTTACAATCTAAGCAATATATATAAATATATATATATGTATATAAATGTACATATAAAATAATTAGGGATTTAATCCCCCTATTAATTCCTTTGTCTTCAAATTTATTCTTCTCTTCCTTTTCCCTCCCTTTCACCACCCACTTTTGACATAACCCTCCTCAAAATCACAACTCAGAATTACGCCTTAATTGGCTTAGTAATTGGGTCATTTGGAAACTTAGCTTATGTGTTTGATTTGAAGTAGATTGCACCACTGTTGTAGTTACATGCAGTTTTCGTATAATTAGGGATATATCAGATGGTCAGTCGATCGAGAACCTAATTTCTATAGTGTCAAGCATGCGTGTGCCATGTTGTTATGGCACGCACCTCGAAATTAAGGCATTGGGTTTCTTCTTAAGTTAATCATTAATTAATTAATTAAATTATCAGCCATCTGATTAACAAAAAAAGTACATTAAATCATTGAAGCTGTTGACAGCACTGGTTAAAATTATGGGCAATGCAGGATTTGGATGGTAGAAATAAACAGCTAGCTAGGTTAGATGAATCGCAATCTTTCCATTTATATATGAAAATGTAGGTAAGCTGTCCAGAAAATATGTATCTGTCTCTGTAAATATCCATCGGCATAATAACTTATCTATTGAAGGGTGTCTAGTCTTTTTCTATGGACATCATCACTGATCTGATGTGTTGAGTAATTTTACAGAGCAGTGAGCTGCTTGTTGAAGTGGGAGGTGTACACTTCTGCTAACAGTTGCCAAACCAAACGCCGGTGACTTGTTGCCATGCCCATGATATATACAACCCATCTTTAGGAATTATTAGCGGAGTTTGAGATGAGGACTGAAAAAAGAACAATTAATCACAAGCAACTTGGTTTGTCCCATCAATCAAGATTGGATTGTCTCATTTTCTTTTGTTGTTGTTGTTGTTGTTGTTGTTGTTGTGTGTGCGTGTGTGTGCGTTTTCTTTTTGCTTGCAAGTATGGCTGACTAAATTAGACAAGGAATATAATATAATTAACTTTTTTTCGAATGAGAATATAGATGACTGGCCAGCTAGTTTCATCATTGTTGGTTTGAATTTACTATAATCCATATGCGTACAACAGTGGTAAAAGAGGGAAAATATTCATCCATGTTTGACAAATTATACTTCTGACTAAACTCAAATTGGTCTTAGCCCTTCAAGCACAAATTGCGGTTTTCATATGGCGATGATGCTGATATAAGATTTCGTTTTCGGAGCTGGATCCCAGATATGGGCAAGGTGGGTTCTTAGATTTGACAAGAAACTAACATGCTTATTACAACTTAATTATATATGATCACTTTTTCATTTATTTTTTTAACAATGACTAATGCTTACTTCTTGTGTGTCATATTTATGCGGTATTGTTTTATTCTGAAAAAGAAGGCGAGAGTTAGATTCTTATCGTAGTTGTGAAATACTCTATTACCGAGCAACTGACCACCTACAAAAAAAATTATCTTAGCATTCTTCTTAATAGTTTATCTTAGATTATTAGGAAAAGTACATTGGTATAATGATCTGTATTCAAATTTCAAAGAGAAAAAAAAAAAGAGAGGAAAAAGAAAGTTAGGTCTGTCCTGAGAATTAATGAAGCAAGAGCCACATGCAGTCTATGAAATCAAATGGTTGATTCAAAAAGTCAAAACACATCTAAGGACTCACACGTGAGCAAGAGAGAGAGAGAGAGCAAGCAGTCAGAGAGCTGGCATTTATATGCTTCTCTCTCTCTCTCTCTCTCCCGCTCCCTATCTCTCTTCTCTCTCCATTGATGCCTCTTTTTATTCTCAGACTCAGCAGATGAGAGTGCTCTGCTGTTTGATCTCTGAAGAACCATAATTCCTGAAATCCTCGTACATCAACCAAAGAGATCGGTCCAATCCAACCAAACCCATCATTTCATCACCAACAAACAAAAGCATCATCACCAGCTTCTCTGCTTCCCCTCTTACAATTTCAGTCTCAGAAGTTGTACTCTCTAACACTCCAACCTCTTTTGTCTCTTAATTTCTTTTATAAACAATATCACCAGTGGACCACTTTTCTAGTGTACCTTGCCTTTGAAGTACCCTCATTATTAATTTGTATTTCTACCCCCTTATTTTACTTCCTTCCTTTCCTTTCTCTTTCTCCTTTGGCAGCACCCTATCCTCTCCCCAGAGAGCATGCCTGAATGTCCAGAGAAAGGTAACCTCTCTCTCTCTCGCTCTCCCTTTTGTATTTTTTTGGTTCTCTCTCCTAAAATTGCATCATCAATAGGAACTTTAATTAATTAAATTTACTTTTCAATCTAATTAATTACGACATTTTTTTATGTCTTATTTATATATAAGTGTACATGGCAATTTTGCTTATGCATTTTCTCTGCTTCTCTACTTAATTGTAGGGAGATATCTGATGAGATAGGCAAGAAGATTAAGAGAGAAACTGATGCTTCTTCTCATCATCGAATGGGAAGAAGACACATGTTGGGCCCTCCCGGAACCCTAAACACCATCACCCCTTGTGCTGCCTGTAAGCTCCTCAGACGAAGATGTGCTCAGGAATGCTCCTTTTCTCCTT